TCCAGGACTTTGGGGCCCCCTACAATCCTTGGCAGGGTCTCCTGAGGAAGGGCAGGGGATGTGTGTCGGGGGCAGGTGTTTAGGTTCCCCCGCTGGGATTTTGGGGTCCCCTAGGAGCCCTTGCGGGGTCTCTTGAGGAAGGGCAGGGGGTAGGCGCCGGGAGGGGCACGGGGGCGGCGTGGCTGCACCTGGGACTGCGCCGTGAGCTGCAGTTTGATGGCGCTTGAGTTCACTTTGGCCGCACGCAGCAGCTCCTTCATCCCGCGCATCTTCTGCGAGCGGAAGCGCAGCACCGGCCCCGGGGGGGGTGCAGGGGGCGGCCCAGGGGGCGCGGGGGCCAGCGGGGCCGCAGGGGGGGCAGCTGGCGTCTCCTCGGGCCGGGGGGCACGGGGGGGCGGCCGGCGCTCCCCGCCTTTCTTGGGGGTCGGCGGCTCCTCGGGCTTGGACTCGCGGCGGGGGCCGCGGCGCCGGCAGTCCCGGGGGTCCTCGGGGCCCCCCAACTCCGCCTCGGGGGGGGCCGGGTCCTCCGACAGCAGCGTCACCTGCTGCCGCACCTGAGACGGCGCAGGGGGCAGAGGGGGTCATTGGGGGACACACACAGGGGGGACAGACTGGGGCTCAGGGGGCCCTGAAGGACCCTGGAGACCCCCCAGCGGTAACTGGAGACCCCAAGGAAGACATGGGGAAGCCCAGACCCCCAGACACCCTTAGGACTCCCCCAAAGCCCTCACCTGGCCATTGAAGCGGCTGAGGGACTGAACGAGGAAGGTGGCCCAACCCAATGGGTGGTGCTCTCCTGCCCCTCAGACCTCCCAGTGTCCCCCGGACTGCCCAAACCCGTCTGGGACCCCCCAAGCCCCCTGGGACCCCCAAAGCCCTTACCTGGCCATCAAAGCGGCCGAGGGATTGGACAAGGAAGGTGGCCCAGCCCACGTGCAGCACCGGGGTGGGGCTCCCCTCCTCCCACCGGCAGATCCCGTCGTAGAACCGCAGCAGGTGAGCGAAGCACTCGGGGTCCTGCAGTGCCGGGAGGCCCCCGGGGGTCCCCTGCAGAGCCCAGAGTCAGAGGGGACCCCCGAGGAGGGAGGACCCCACAAACAGGGACAGGGGTACCCCCGCCTTGGCACCACAAAGCGTGGCACATCAGGGACACCCCCACGGGGACCCACAAATTCAGCTCCCCCAGATGTGCGGTAACGTCTGGGCCCCCAAGTCCATGTACCCCATGTACTCCCACCCCCCAGACAAAGCAGGGACACCCACCCTGGGCAGGGCTCCCCCTGCCTTACACACAGTCCCCACTAACCCACCTCAGCCCCCGGGGGGGGCTCGGCCGCCGCCTCCTTGAGCAGGTTGGGGATGACGTCATTGGCCACGTCGAAGAATTCCTTGTAGATCTCCTCGTCTTCCCGGCAGTAGTTGTAGCTGGGGGGGGGGCGCAGGGGGGCTTGGGGGACTGCCTCATGGTGGTAGGGGGCACACAGGATTTGGGGGGCTGCCCCACAGCCATGGGCAGGGCTGGGGACCCCTAAAAGTGTCACAGAACCTGCAGAGGCGGGGGGGGATCCCAGAGAGCCAGGCCCTGGGCAGGGACCCCCACCTTCCCTGCCTTTGCCCCTGGAGGTGCCTGTGGGGGGCCCAGGACACCCACAGCCATAGGGGGATATGGACCCCCAAGAGCCCCCTGCCCTGACCCCAACCCCCCAAGCCTCACAGGAGGAGGGAGGGCCCCCGGCCCAGCCCATGGTGAGAGTTGGACCCTCAGGGGTCTCCCCAAGGACCCCCCAGCCCCTTGCTCACTCCTGGATGACGGTGGCCGTGTCAGCCCAGGCCTGCAGGGCCTCCTTGACGTTCTTGTTGCGGCAGTGGAACCCAGCCAGATACAGGTAGGGGTAGATGTGCTCGTTGTTGTAGTGGGTGCGGGCAGACTGGATGCCCTGAGGGTGATGGGGGGGAGGTCAGTGTCCACCTGGGCTCACTCCTGGGCTCCACAGAACCCCCCACCCTGGCTCACCTGGTGGTACAAAGTGAGAGGGTCAGGTCTGCCCGGAGTCGGCTCCAGCTCCTCCAGGTCCGCCAGGTTCCCCAGGGCCATGGGGTACCTGTAGGGAGGGTGGGGGGCAGCCCCACAGCAGGTTGGGGTGGCCCCATGGCAGGTTGGGGGGCAGCCCCAAGGCGGGTCGGGGGTCCCTCTCACCTGTCCAGGTGTCCCATGTCATAAAGCAGCCAGAGCAGGCGCTGCAGAGGAAAGGGAGATGTGAGGTGGGACACCTGCCCCAGGGATATCTCACGCCTGCCCCACACCCGCTGCAGCAGCTCCAGGCTGTCCCCATGTCCCCACCTGCTGCAGCTGCAGCAGCTCCAGGCTGTCGGTGTGGCCATCAATGGACGGGTTGATGGCACAGACCATAAACGCCACCTCCATGTGTCTTGTGCAGCGCAGGTATGAACCCTTCAGGTACAGCCAGCTCTGGGGGAGATGGGAGGGCACAGCGACTCAGGTGACATGAGGGACACAAGGACATATCCACCTGTGCCTCCCCATCCTCCCCCACCCCTGTGGTGGGGGCACCATCTGTCCCCAGAGCTCCTCAGCATCCCCACCTGCCCTGGGGACTCCCCTGTCCACTCCCTGGGTCTCCTCTGTCCCCGTGGATCCCCCCAGTTCCTGTCTTTATACCCCTGTTCCTCATTCCTCCCTTCCTGTGCCCCATACCCTCTCAGCCCTCCTGATGTGTCCCTTCCCTCCCTATGGCCCCCTGTACCCTCTCAGCCCCCCATGTGTCCCCTCCCTCCCCAGGACCCCCCCATGTGTCCCCTCCCTCTCCGTGCCCCCCCATACCCTCTCTGCCACCCCAGCTTGCACCGGCTGTCCCCTCCTGTCCTCGTTGCCCTTCCCGTGCCAGGTGACCTCGGCGGTCTGGGCCCCTCCGGCCCCGAAGGCCACCCAGGCGTGGTCCTCGCTCAGTGCCAGGTGCACGTCTGGCAGCCCCAGCACCTGGCAGGCCCCAACCACGGCAAAGGCCACCCCTGAGCTGTCCAGCTTCGTTCCTGGGGGGACACAGGGGCTCAGGGGGGCTGGGACACCCGCAGAGAGCCCCTCAGCACCTGGAAGGCCCCAGTCATGGCCCGAGGAGCTGCCCAGCTTCATCCCTGGAGGGGGCACAGGGAGGCTCAGGGATCCCCCAGCTCCCCTCACCGGTGATGAATCTGAAGAGGGACTGGATGTGTGTGGGGTCCTTGCAGAAGGAGCAGCTGAGGTTGTTCCAGGTATCAACCCAGGACCCTGTGTGACCCTCTAGCACCCCCAAAGCCCCCCATACCAGTGATGAAGCTGAAGAGGGACTGGATGTGGGCCCTGTCCTTGAAGTAGGAGCGGCTGAGGCTGTTCCAGATGACATCGGACACCTTGCGCACAAGCTCCCGGGAGGAGCAGCCATCAGGACGGGGGTACAGGGACAGGTCCACGGCCCCCCGGATCTGGGCTGTGAACCGGGCGTAGAGCGCAGCCACGATGGACAGCTCGGCCACCGGGAAGTACAGGCGGGTCTGGGGGTCCGGCCCTGGGCGGGACTCGAAGGTGACCCCAGGGACATTGGTGGGTAGGACGCGGTTCACGGCCAGGAAGTGCTCAACGAAGCCCAGGACCAGCGACAGCAGCACCAGGTCGGGCTCAGGCTGGTGCAGTTCAGCCTCGAACAGCCGGACCACAGCGGACACGGAGCGGAGTGGGAACAGCGCCTTCTGCCACGGCTTCAGCCCCATCCTGGGACCTGGAGGGGGAATGGGGGTTTATGGGGTGTTACAGGGCAGTTTGGGGTGCCACAGGGTTCAAGGGCTCAACCACACCACGGTGGGCACGGAGCAGGGACAGAACCTTCTGCCACAGCTTCAGCACCGTGGGGAGGAATGTGGGGATCAGAGGGGATTCCAGGGGGTTCGAGGGGTCACAGCACCTCCTCCAGAGCTTGAGGCCCAGAGCGGCTACGGTGGGGGGTGGGCAAAGGAGGAGTCACAAAGGGGGCTGTGGGGTCAGGGGGAAGAGCAGCTTCTGGCCGAGCCCGAGCCCACGGAGGGGACTGAGGAGGGAATGGGGGCGTTATGGGCGCAGGGCTGGGGGACGAGTGTGACTCGGAGAGGGTTACAGGGGTAGGGAGGGGGTCGAGGGCTGGGCGGGCGTGTGGGGGAGACCCCGAGGCTGCGAGCACCGGGACCTGCCCCCCCCCCGGGGAACCCCCAAAGCGGCGGGAACCCTCAGAGACCTCCCGGACCCCGCCGCCGTCCCGGAACCACCCGTCCCGCCGACCCCACGGCCCCGTGACGCCCCGACCCCCACCCTGAAACCCCCCCGAACCCCGACGAGCCATCCCCGCCCCTCACCGAGACCGCCGCCGGCGCGGGCGGCGCGGGGTACGACGGGAGGGGGCGGGGCCTGCGGCGGCGGGGGCCGGAATTGGACGGGAGCTGAGGGCGGAAGAGGCCAGAATGGGCGGGGCGAGGTTGGTAAAGTGGGCGGGGCTGCAAAGGGGGCGTGGGCGCAGTGGGCGGGACTCGGCTTTGGGGGCGGTCCGTGCGGGGGGCGGGGGCTGCCGGGTGGGCGCGGCCTGTGGGAGGGTCCCGCCGCCCCCGCCCCCGATTTCCCCGAATAGCCCCAAACGTCCCGATTTCACCCCCAAATCCCCCCGATTTCATCCCAAACGGACCTGAATCGCCCCCAACTCCCCCTCAGGCCTCACCAAATCCCGCCCCAAGCGCCCCCATCTCCCCCTAACCAGTTCCCAAAGTGCCCCAAATCGCCTCAATTCTTCCCCAAATCCCCTCTCTGCTCCCGCCAGTGCCTCAGTCTCCCACCAGTTCCCCCCAAACCCCCTCCGCATCCCCCAAATCCTCCCAAGGGCCCAACCAAATCTCCCCGCAGTGCCCTCCCAAATCCCCGCAATTCCACCGTATTCCCTCCGGCAGCCCCACCCCGCCCCATCCAGGCAGCGGCGCCGGGGCCGTTCCGCCACGTCCTTTATTGGGGGCCGAGGGGATCCCGGGGGGCCCCGGGCGGGTCAGCGGCGCTGGGGCAGTCAGAGCCCCCCCGAGTGGTCCTAGGGAGTTCGGGGGGGGGGTCAGCGGCGCTGGGGGAGGCAGAGACCCCCCGGCCGGGCCCGGGCAGTCCCGGCTTTGCAGGCACAGCGGAAGGAGCCGCTCGTGTTGATGCAGCGCTCGCGGGGGCAGCGGGGGGCCCCCCGGGCGTCCCGGCACTCGTCGATGTCTGGGCGGTGGGAGACACAGGTCAGGATCCCAAAATACCGTCCCAGGACCCTCAACACTTTCCCTGCCATAGAACCCCCAAATACCCCCCTGGGGGTCCCAGCACTCATTTATGTCTGTGGGTGAACATGGGCTTCAAGGACGTCCAAAACACCCCCATGGCATCCCCAGCCTCCCCCCAGAGCTCCAGCACCCGCCCATGTCTGTGGCATCGGGGACCCCCAGATTCTGCCCAGGGATCCCAATATGTGGGGACCCAGGAGTAGGGGGGTCCTGACCCCCTCCACCCCTCCCAACCCTGGGACCCCAGGCTTTGGGTGTCGCCAGGCATTCAGGGTGTTAAAGGGGGGTTGGGGGTCCCCATTTTGGGAGGATCGAGGTCTCACCGAGGCAGCGGGTGCGGGTGGGGTCTGGCTGGAAGCCGGGGGGGCACTCACAGAGTCCCCGGGGGGACCGGAGGCAGCGACCAGGGACCCCCCCGGGACAGGGACACTCAGCAGAGTCTTCCTCGGAGCTGTCGTCACCTAGGGGAGCACAGGGGGCTGGGGACCTGGGGTGGGGGCAGGGAGGGAGCTGGGGGTCCCAGGGTAGGAGGACCCCAGCTTTAGGGGACATGGCAGGGGCTGGGGTGCCCAGGATGGGGGGATCTGGTTACGGGGTGCCTAGAGCCAAGTTTTGGGGTCCCATGGGGTGGAGGACCTTCAGCTGTGGGGCACAGGGCCAAGGTTTGGGGTGCCCAGGATGGGAATCCCAGGGCTGAGGGGTCCCTGGGGGGCTCAGGGCTGAGCTTTGGGGCCCCAAGGTGGGATCCCAAGGGCTTTACAGTTCCCCGGGGGCTTGGGGACTCCAGGGGAGGTGGGTTTTGGGGGTCTGGGTTTTGGGGTCCCAGGATTGTCAGGGGTCCCAGAGGGTTTGAGAGAGAAGGTTTTGGGGTCCCACCTCTGCGGGCCCCCTCCAGGCCGAGGGGGCTCACGTCCCAGAAGGAATTGCTCTCACTCTGCGAGGGGGGGCAGGGCAGGCCTGGGGGGGACCCCACATCATCCCCTGCCCCCCAGGCAACCCCCACCCCCATGTCACCCCCTGTGTCCCCCCCGCCCAGCACCTCCTGCCCCCAGGACCTTCAGCAGCTCTCCCAGATCCCATAAAGACCCCCAGATCCCATAGGGACCCCTCCACAGCCCATGGGGACCCCCCAGACCACCCAGATCCCATAGAGACCTCCAGATCCCATAGGGACACCCTAGAGGACCCTAGAGGCCCCATATTCCCCCAAATATCCCCCAGACACCCCCAGAGGCCTCTCCATCCCATCCAGCCCCCCAGAGAGCCCCCCAAAATCCCAAGGGCAATCCTCAGAGACCCCCTCCCTGTCACCCCCAGGACTCCCCCAGAGGCCTCACATTCCCCCTAGGGACCACAGAGCCCTCCTGTAGCCCCCCAAATCCCCTCCCAAGACCCCCCACAGCCCGCCCCACACCACCCATGCCCCTCCAACCCTCCCCCAGGTCTCCCCCTGTCACCTGGGGGTCGGGGGGGGCAGGGCCGGCAGTGGGGGCCCCAGCCGGCCCCCCCCCGGCAGCAGCACTCGTCCAGTGTGAGGGCCCCCCCCGCAAAGGGCGCCCCACAGACCCCCTCATCCCCCCGCCGCTGCCAGCACACATCCCGCCGCTCCGGGGGGGGCCGCTCTGGGCCAGGGGGGCGCTCTGCGGGCACAGGGAGAGGGACACAGGTCAGGGACCCCCAAACACCTCCCCATAGGGCCTCCAACACCCACCCGGGGTCCCAGCACTCATTGGTGTCTGGGGGTCGCACGGGGGGGCGCACGGGGATCACACGGATGTGCCTCTTGCACACCCACCAACCCCAGGCCCCCCGGGGGTCTCACCGCGCTCGGGGAGGGTCTCACCGGGCTCAGGGGTGGGGAGGCAGCGCCGCAGCCCCGGGTGGTACCGCGCTCCCGGCCCGCAGGTGCAGCGGAAGGAGCCGCGCGTGTTCTCACACGCCCCGTCCACGCAGTTCGACTCGTCCAGGCACTCGTCCACGTCTGGGGGGTGGGCGGGGGCTCGTGGGGACCCCTCAGCAGCACAGGGACCCCCAGGGACCCCTAGGGATCCCCCAACACCCCGGGGACCTGCAGGGACTCCCAGGGATACCCTTGGCACTGCAGGGACCCCCAGAAGACCCAGGGACCTCCAAACACCCCACACCCCCCCAACACCCCAGGGACCTTCTGGGACCCCCTGCTTGCCCCTCAGACCCCCCATGGCCCCCGGCCCCCCTTACCCAGGCACTGCCGCAGGGCGCTGTCGTAGTCAAACCCAGCCTTGCAGTAACACTCGTAGCCTGGCTGGGTGTTCACGCACTTCCCCCCCTTGCAGATCTCGGCCCCGAACAGTCCGCACTCATCGATGTCTGGGGGGGGACCCCCGGGGGTCTCAAGTCAGGGACTCCCCCCAGGGTACCCCCAGGGGGACAGGGACCACCCTGGAGACACAGGGACCCTCGGGACAGGGGGGACCCCAGGGCACAGAGATGCCCCCAGGGGACAGGAGCACACAGGGGTGGTCCTGGGGAGTGTCTCACCCCGGTGTGCTGGGACTCCGTAGTCAAGGCCATTGTCATCCTGGATGAAGCCTCTTCCATCAGGACAAAGCTCCACAAACTCGGCTGGGGGAACCAGAGGGGGGTCCTGAATGTCCAGACCTCTCCTGGAACCCCCAAACTGCCCCTGGTGATCCCAGACTGCCCCTGGAGACCCTAAACTGTCTCCCAGGACCCTCAGAGGCCCCTCCCATCAGAGGACCCTGCACAGGACCTCCCAGTCCCTCCGCCAGGCCCCCCCAGGACACTCCCCAGGCTCCCCCTGTACCTGAGGAGGGCAGGGGGCAGGGGTACACCTCGCACAGGTCCCCCCACCCCGCCCCTACGGAGCAGCAACACTCCCCCCGTGTGACGTTGGTCCCCAAAACGGCGTCACAGAACACGGGGAGCTCCAGGCTCAGGTAACACTCCTTGCGTGGGGCGGGGGGCTCCCGAGCTGTGGCGGGGGAGGCAAGGAGCGTCAATGGGGATCCCAGAGACTCCTCAGAGTCCCAGGGACCTCCCGGCGACACCTCCCCACACACACCTCAGGGACTCCCCAGAGACCTCCCAAGGATCCCACCCAAAGACCCCCTCTCCCGAGCCCCAGGGATGCCCAGAGACTTCCTAGGGATCCCTGAGACCTCCAGGAACAGCCCCCCCAGCCCCCCAGGGACACCTCAGACCCGTAAAAGCTCTTGTGCAGCCCAGGAGCCCCCCAACGACCCCATTTGACCTCCCTGGGACTCCCCAGACACCCAGGGAGCCCCACAAAACCCCAGGGACCCCTCAGAAATGCCCTCAGACCCTCCGTGACCCCCATGACCTCCCAGAGACCCTCCAGACCCCCAGGAGGCACCCCCAGACTCCCATGCCCCCCTCTCACGGAGGCAGCGGCGCCCATCAGGGCCGGGGGTGTAGCCGGGGGGGCAGCGGCAGCTGAACGACCCCTCGAGGTTGGTGCAGGTGCCGGGGTGGGGGCACAGCCCGGGGTCCAGCGCACACTCGTCAATGTCTGGGGAGAAAGGGGGGGCACGGGGCTCATGCATTGCTCAGGGAGACCCCCAGGGAACCCCCATGGCCCCCCCACCTCGCACAGGGCTTGTGCGACAAAGCGGGAGCACCCCAAGGGTCCTCCTCAGACACTCCTAGGGACCCCCAGAGATTCCCCCAGGAATTCCCCCAGCCCTCCCTTGCACGATGGGGGTCTTCACACACACACACATGGGCCGAGCATCCAGAGAGAATGGGGGTGTGTGGGAGGGGGGGTATCAGGGGCTGTGTTGGGAGGAAACTGTTTTGTGGGGGCTATTCTGGGGGGTCTCAGGGGTCTCCACACTCACCCTGGCAGCGGCGGCCGTGCAGTAGCGTGTACCCAGGGGGGCACAGGCACCGGTAAGACCCCACCGTGTTCACGCAGTCACCGCCCACACACGCGGCTGCGAACTCACACTCATCGATGTCTGGTGGGGGAAGAAACAGGACCCCCGTGTGCAGGAAGGATCCCCCCACCCTATACAACCCCCCACCCGGACACCTCGCAGACACCCCAGACACGCCCATGCACATGCACACAGGCACCCCCCCAGAACAAAGTCCCACCCCCAAACTCCACATATGCTCCCCACCGACCCCACTCAGCCACCCCAGATTTGAGCGTCCCTTGGCAGCAGGAGAGGGTCCCCGACCGGGTGCACACCCAGCACCCCCGGATGTGGGGGTACCTTGGCAGCGGGGGGGGTCCCGCGCCGGCTGCAGCCCAGGGGGGCACTGGCACTTGTAGGAGCCGGGGGTGTTGACACAGCCACCCCCGGGGCAGAGCCCTCCTGCCTCGCACTCGTTCACATCTGCACGACCCCCGTCAGCCCCTGCCCTGTGGGGGGCTTTGGGGGCCAGGGGGGTCCTTTGAGGGGCAAAGAGGGTTCTGGGGAGAAGCAGGGATGGGGGCCCTGGGTGGGGGTTCTGGGGTGCTCTGGGTCAGGGGAGAGGTCAGGGATGGGGTCCCCGGGAAGGACTTGATGGGGGGCCCAGGGTGGGGGAGATGTGGATATTGGGGTCTTTATGGTGGGGTTCTGGGGGAGGGAGTCCCCAGGATAAAGAGGTCTCCAGGAAAAGGGGTCCTAAGGGATCCCAGGCTTCCTGGGGAAGTTGGGGCGTCCCAGGGATGGTGACTGAGGCAGACACTGTTGGGGCTGTGGAAGCCGGGAGGGTGCACAGGGTTCCTGGGGGGTCCCAGGGCGGGGTCTTGGGGGGTTTGGGAGAGTGCCGGGGGGGTCCCCAGGGGGTGCTGACCGAGGCAGGCGCCATTGAGGCCACGGAAACCAGGGGGGCAGGGGGTGCACACGAACCCCCCAGGCTGGTTCTCACACTTGGCCTCGGGGCATGTCCCCACATCCAGGCACTCGTTGATATCTGGGAGGAGACATGGGGGGCATCAGGGGATGGGGGGACCCCACAGCATCCCGTACTGGGAGCCCGTAGGGTCCCCTGACCCTGTCCTTGGTGTCCCTGTGTCCCCACCCAGTGTCCCCCCCCAACACCCCATGCCTGTCACCCCCCAGTGTCACCTTCGCAGAGGGGGGGCCGGGAGCCCTTTCGCCGGTACCCCGGATGACACTCGCACTTGTAGTGCCCGGGGACATTGGTGCAGGTGCCGCCGTCCCCGCACACGTCACCCTTGGCGCATTCATCGATGTCTGTGGGGACACGCGGGGTCACGGGCCCTGTTCCCAACTCTGGCCAGCATCCCCAACCCTGTCCCATGTCCTGAACCCTGTCCCATGTCCCTAACCCAGGCCAGTGTCTCCAACGCTGTCCTGTGTCTCTAACCCTGGACAGCGTCCCCAATCGCAGACCGCGTCCCCCACCCTTTCCCCAGGCTCTGTGTCCCCGTGTCCCCATGTTCCCTGTGACCCCATGCCCCCCCCATACCCCTCACGTCCCCAGGGCCTTCTGTCCCCTGTGACCCCATAACCCTTGGGACCCTCCCAGTTCCTGTGCCCCCTCCCCGTACCCCATGTGAGCCTTGTGACCCCAGCCACCCCTTCCCCCGCTGTGCCCCCCCTCGTGCCCCCCGTACCTGCGCAGGTGCGCAGCCCCTTGTGCAGGCGCAGCTGGAACCCCCGGTGACAGTGACACGTGTAGGAGCCACCCGTGTTCATGCAGACACCGCGCCCGGCGCCGCATGGCTCAGCCTCACACTCGTTCACATCTGTGCACGCATGGCAGAGCGTGTCAGCATGTGTGGTACCAATTGTGGCAGAGCGTGTCAGCGTGTGCCACTGTGTGTGTCACTGCGTGTGGCAGAGCATGTCAGAGCACGTCACCATGTGTGTCAGACTGTGTCGCCACGTGTGTCAGAGCACGTCACCACACGTGTCAGAGCGTGTCACCACACGTGTGACCCCCCCATGTCCCCACAATGTGTCAGAGCGTGTCACTGCATGTGTGAGCCCCCCCAGCCCGCCGTGCCCCCCGTACCGGTGCAGTAGCGGCGCTGGGGGTGCCAGCGGTACCCCGGGAAGCAGAGGCAGCTGTACCCCCCCGGGCCCATCACACACTCTCCGGGGCCACAGATGTTCCGGTTCAGTTTGCACTCGTCCGTCTCTGGGGGCACAGGGGGGCTCTGGGGGGCTCAGGCGGTCCCAAAGGGTCCCATGAGGTCCAAGGGGTCACAGGAGGGCCCAGGGGAGGTCTCAGAGGCATCTCAGGGCAATCCCAGAAAGATTAATGGGTTCCAAGGGGTTCCAAAGGATGTTAGAGGGGGTCCCAGGGAGGTCTGGGGAACAGCAGGGGGTTCTTGGCATCCCAGGGGCTTCTTGGGGGTCCAAGGGTAGGTCCCAGGGGTGTCTGGAGGGTTCCTGGGGGGTCTCAGGGAGTCTGGGGGTCCCAGGGGGCTCTTGGGGGTCCAAGGGTAGGTCCCAGGGGTGTCTGGAGGGTTCCTGGGGGGTCTCAGGGAGTCTAGGGGTCCCAGGGGTGTTTGGGGCTTCTGGAGGGATCCAAGGAGTCCCAAGGAATCCCAAGGGGTCCCAGGGGAGTCAGGGGGATCTCAGCAGGTCACAGAAGGCCCCAGGGGGCTCCCAGGTGTGTTGGGGATCCAGGGGGTTCCAGGGGGGTCCAGGAGTTCCCAGGGGTCCGGGGGTCCTCACCGGTGACCTGGGTGGGCGCGATCTCGGCGGCACTGCGGGTCAGCTGCTCCGGGGGCAGCTGCCACAGCGGGGCCGGCGTGGGTCGGGCCACCAGCGCTGGGGACATGCCGTGGGACAGAGGCACAGGGACACAGACCCCACAGGGGCCCTGTCCCCTTGTGTGTCCCACTCCATCCCAGCCCTGTCCCCATCCTTGTCCTTGTCCCCATTCATGTCCCCAAACTGACCCCAACCCATTCTTGTCCTCATGCCCCTGTCCCCTCCTCTCTGTGGCTGGAACTCCTGTGTCCTGGCCCACCCCTGCCCACACTGGCCCCATCCATCATATCCCCATCCATGTCCCCTTCCCCATCTCCTGCCCCCGAGGGCTCCAAGGCTCCCCCAGCCTCTCCATGTCACCCCTGTGTCCCCATTTCTGTCCCTCCCCTGTTCCTCCCACCTTGTCTCCCTCCCCTGTTCCTCCCGCCTTGTCTCCCCCTTACCAGGGTACCGGGGGAGGTCGCTGCCCCCCGGGGGCTGCTCCAGGCCCTGCTCCTCCAAGGGGCTCAAGAACGCCGGGAGCTGGGAGTGGGACACAGATGTCCCCTCTGTCCCCTCTGCTCCCCCACCCTCCCTGTAGCCCCCCCTAGGACCCCTGGAAAAACTCCCAAGCCCCCCACTCCCTCCATAGGCCCCCGGGATTCCCCCAGTCCCCCTGTGCCTCCTGAGTCCCTCCTCATCGTGCTTGTCCCCCTATTTCCTCCCATGTTCCCCCCAATTCCCCCAATGTCCCCTCCTGCATCCACCCCCATGTCCCCATGTGCCCTCGCATCCCGTTCCCAACATCCCCCCAATGTCTCTATGTCCCACACATCCCCCACACTCACCATGGCCGGGGGGGTCACAGCTGTGGGGGAGGGGGCAGTGAGACCAAACTACCCCCACCATGGGGTGGGGGAACACACAAAACAGGGGGTCACATGGGGACATGAGCAGCCCCAGGGGGTCCAGGGTCATGGGGGAGGGGACAGGACCCAGGGGGGCACAGGGGATATGGGAGGGGGGATGAGGGACATAGAGGAACACTGAGGGGAGGACAGGGATGGGGGGATGAGGGACACGGCAGGGGGACACAAAGAACCCCAGAGAACATGGTGGGGGACACAGAGGACTTATGGCAACTTGGGGCAGTCACAGGGACATGGGGGGCTCCCAGGGGAGATGGGGGGGCACAAGGAGGGGTTGTGGGAGTCCAGGGGGACATAGGATCCCCCAGGAGACATGGGGGGTATGGAGGACATGGGGGAAGGAGGGGATAAGGACTGGGAGAGAAATAGGAACTGGGGGGGACCCCAGGGGACGTGTGGGGTACGGGGGGCTCACAGAGGGCACGGGGAGTGCCCGACCTGACGGCGAGGGCGTCTCGGGTGGCGCAGGGCTGGGGATGGGTGGGGGTGGCCGGGGGGGCCGCTCTGGGGTCCCGTCGGGTTGGATATGGAGGGTGAAGTCGCTCTCGCCCTGGATCGTGAGGGTCTGGTGGGATGTGAGGACGTGGTACCCCTTCCCCGCTGGGCAGATGGCCTTGAACGCAGCTGGGGGGCACCAGGGAGTCAGGAGGGCCTCCGGGGGGATGCCCAAACCAGGCTGGAATCCCCCTGGTTCCTGTCACCCCCACAAACATGACCAGGACCCCCTTGGATTGTGAGGGGCAGGTGGCCTTGAACACATCTGGGGGGACACGGTGGGACCAGGGAGGCTCCCAAATGGGGCTGGGGTCCCCCACGCTGCCCCTGCAGCCCCAAACCAGTGCCATCAGGGGGGCAGTGACTCCTCCAGACTCCCGTGACCCTCCCGTACCGTTTGGAGGGGGTAGCACTGGTAGCAGCTTCCCCCGACCCCCCATGACCCCTCCATACCGGTGCCATCAGGGGGGCAGCGCTGGCAGCGGCCCCCCCAGGCCTTGCCCACGCTGCAGCAGCAGGTCCGGCGGGTCAGGCGGGTGGGCAGGGGGTGTTGGCACTGCTGTGCCCCCGACACCAGCCGGAAGCACAGACCCCGTTCCTCACCTGGCTCTGCTGCAGGAGGGGGAGAGAGGGGTGTCAGCACCCTCAGAGACCTCCCCAAGACCCCCAAAAGCCCCAAGCTCCACAGCCCCCACTCCTTGATGAGTTACACTGCTCAGAGGAGGGCCTCAGCACTTTCAGTGACTCCTCCAGGGACCCCCGAGACCCCAACCCAGCCATCCCTGTCCACAGGTACTGGTTCTGGGGGGGCCTCAGGGCCCCCAAACTCCCCTGCACTCCCAGGGCCCCCAGCTTCCCCATCAGCCCCCCAGACCCCCCATACGCAGGCACTGGCTCCGGGAGGGTCCCAGGACGTGCCCGGCTGAGCAGGAGCAGCGGAAGCTGCCCTGGGTGTTGCGGCACTCGCCGGGCTGGCACACACCGGGCAGGGCACACTCGTTAATGTCTGTGACAGGTAGAACACACCCGAGCCAGGCATGACACACCTGACATAGGTGTGACACACCTGACATGGGTAGGACACACCTGATACAGGTAGGACACACCCGGCAAAGGTATAACACACCTTACACAGGTACAACACACTTGAACCCATCCCACACAGCCCTGACCCCACACACACCCCCCACTTGCCAGGCAAGATACACCCATTGGTGTCTGACAGGCATGACACAGGTGTGACCGAAGTATGAACACACCTGAGCCCCACGCACTCCTTGACACGCCTGCACACGCTGGGCAAGGCACACCCAACATCTGTGACACATGTGAACACGTGTGAACACACCTGCACCCACCACACATACGCCTGACCTGTCACACGTGCCCCTGCACCCACCACCCACACACTTGGCATCACACACCCCTGGCCCTGCGCAAGCCCCTGTACCCCTCACACACCTGCTGGACATTCACACACACATGTCCCCCCCCCGCTCCCTGTGCCCCCCGTGTTCCCCCCACGCCCCGCTGTGCCCTCCCCATGCCCCCCCGTACCCTGGCAGTGGGAGCTGTTGAGCCGTTTGTAGCCCTGGGGGCAGTCGCCCCCGCGCTCCCCCCGCGCCGCCTTCGGGGACCCCGACCCTGCAACAGTCCCAGAACCTCCCGTTACCTCCAGCACCAGGGGGAACATGGGGGCAGCAGGACACCTGGGTCCCCCCTGGAATGGGGGGGACCTGTGGGGCCCTGAGGTGGGGGGAGCCTTGAGGGGGGTCCTGGATGCCTGGCCCTGCCTGGGTGGGGGTTCCCTGGGGGAGGGTCCCACTGAGGACATGTGAGGAAGGGTCCCCTGGATCGGGGTCACCCGGGTTTTCCCAGGATGGTGTGGGGTGTCTCCACCATCTGGGTGGGGGGAATTCCTGGGTGGGGGAATCCGGGGGTTTGAGGGGCGTGGGGATGGCATGGGGGGTCCCCACCCACCTTGCAGGTGGGGTTGGGGGGGTTCAGGGGGTCCTACTCACCCTGCAGGTGGGGGCACTTGTGACACTTGCTCTGGCCCCAAGCGCTGCCGATGCTGCCACAACAATCCTCGAGCTTGGTGAGCCCCGGGAGGGGGTTGCTGCCACACTGGAGGTAATCAGGGTAGGGGATTCAGCAACCCAAATATCCCTGACATCCCCCCGGCCAAACAGACACTCCCTGCACTTCCAGGGACCCCCGAGGACCCCCAGCAACAATCACTGAGCTTGGTGAGCCTGGGGAGGGGGTAACTGCTGCACTGGGCAGATGTGGGGTGGTCAGCACCCCTAAATATAAACCTGAACCCTTAAAAAAAACCCTTGCAAAGCCAGACAAGCCCTGAAACCCCAAATCTCCCAGCCCTCCATGCCCACCATCCCCCCTCAATACTGCCCTGCATCCCCAACAATCCCCTGAACCCCAAATGTCCCCAAGCCCCCCCCAGCTCCCCCCTCACCGAGTGCTTGGGCAGGGTCTCCTGGAAGCAGCGGCCCAGAGGTTTGTGGGTGTGGGGCCGGGGGGGCGCAGGGGGTTTGCTGCCTGAGGGGGGCTGGGCGGGGTGCGCCAGGAGCCCCCCGCTGCCCCGGGGTGCCCCCTCGGGGGGCCGTGGTTCAATCCGGTGAACCTGCACCGAGGCCTCGGGGGGGTGATGGACCCGCACGTTCACCAGTGGCGGTGGCACCTGTGCTGGGGGCAGTGGCACCTGGAACCCCCAAACCTGGCACCAGCACCCTGGGACCCCCCAAACCCGGCACCAGCACCCTGGGATCCCCCAAACCAGGCACCAGCACCCTGAGACCCCCCAAACCCAGCACTGACAGCACTGACACCCTTGGACTCCCGGCACAGGTACTTGGGACACCCTGAACCCCCAAACACAGCACCGGCATGCTGGGACCCCCCAGCATGGACACCCCAGGACCTCCTGGGATCCCAAACCCGGCATCTGTGCTGGGGGCACTAACACCTGAGACCCCCCAGCACCCCCTGATAGGCACTTGTAGGACCCCCCAGGACCCCTGGTATGGGTACTCTCAGACATGTGACCCCCAGAACCCACTGCTGCCCAAGATCCCCTCCCCACACCCCTGAGCTCTCCATACACCCTTAGACCCCCAAGCTCCCTCAGCCCCAGGTACCTTCAGACGAGTGGTGCCCAGGCCCCAGGGGCACCACAAAGGTGGCGTGGCTGACGTGCCCTCCCCGTGCCCCCTCCGTGCCCCCGCCATGGGCTGCCCCAGGGTGGCTCGGGGGGGGCCGCTGCCCCCCCAGGGCCATCAGCGATGACCTGGACGGCATAAACTGCAACCTTGGAGCCCGGGGGAGGTTCAGGGGGGGCATCAGGGGGCGCAGGAGGGGGCAGGGGGCCTCCCCACGCCCCCGCGGGGACCTGGCAGAAGCGGCCGGTGAAGTTGGGGGCACAGACAGTGGGAACGGGAGCTGCACTGGCCCCCGTTCATGCAGGGCAGGGGACACACCACTGTGGGGGTAGAACAGGGGTCACACAGAGCCCTTCAAATCCACTGAGCCCCCTGCCCTCTCCAACCCCTCCTTAACCCCTCAGGTCCTCCCGAGCCCCCAAACCCCTGAGGCCCCCGAGACCCGACCCCTCGAGTGTCCCCTGATGCCCTGAGAACCCCTGAACCCCCTGAATCCTCCCAAGCCCCTCCCAAAGGCCCCCAGACCCCTCTTGCACCCCCTTTGCCCCCTGCAGGGCCCTCTGAAGTCCTTGTCCCACCCTGTCCCTGTGCCATCCTAGCCCCATCCCGATGCCATCACAGTCCCATCCCCAGGGTTCTCGTTCCCATCCCTACCTCCATCCCACACTGCCCCTGTCCCATCCCACCCCATCCCTGTCCCATCCCACCCCATCCCTGTCCTTGTCCTGGGCCCTGTACACAACCCTGTCCCCACCGCTGTCCTACCCCATCCTATCCCATCCCATCCCTGTCTCCATCTTCATTCAGTCCTGGTGCTGTCCCAATGCTGCCCCCAAACCTGTGTCATCCTGTCCCCATCCCATCCCTGTCCCCATGTCCACATCCCTAGTCCCGGTGCCACTCACCCACTCTGAAGCCGGACCCGGTCAGGGTGTCGGCCGCGTGCCCGTTCTCTCCGATCAGGGTCATGTTGGAGCCGGGCTGACACGAGTCCCGGCACAGCCCCTTCAGACACGTCCTCCGGCAGATCAGGGGGGCGAAGACCACCTTGAAGCGCTCGCGGGCCACGGCCGCGCCCCCCCCGCGCCCCCCTAGCGCCGCCAGCGCCGCCAGGGCCACCACCCAGAGCCTCCCCCAGCGCCACATGGCGACCCCCGACTGCGGGACCCCCGGGACCCCCGACCCCGGCCCCCCGAGGGGCGAGAGCTCGGGGCCAGATGCCGGGGACCCCTCGGGGGGGGGGGTCCTGGACCCTGGGGTCCCTCAGGGGGTTCTCCCGGAGGCCTGGGACGCTTGGAGGAGTCCCAGATGCCTGGGTCCCCTATGGGGGGGTCCCAGATGTCTGGGGCCCTCTTGGGGCTCTCCTGGACCCCTCTCAAGGGGCTCCCACACCCCCTCCAAGCCCCGAGGCCGAAGGTCCCCCTCTGGGGGTCTCCCGGGCTCCGGGGTCCCCTCGCGGGGTGCGGGGTCCCCTCTGGGGGTGTCCCAGAGGCCGGAGTCTCCCCACCGGATGCTGGGGTCCCCTCGGGGATGTCCCGGGCTCCAGAGTCCCCTCGCCGAACGTGGGGTCCCGTCTGGGGATGTCCTGGACACGGGGTCCCCCCGGTCAGGACGGGGTTGGGGGTTCCCGACGGACTCCCGAGTTCCCGCGGCCGCCCGGGATGGCGCTGGAATGGGGGGGAGGGACAGGGGGCCCGGGCGGGGAGGGGGCGGGGGCCGGGCCCTGGGTCCGCTCCAGTAATTGGGGGGCGGGTGGTGGGGGAGGGGAGGAGCCCGGATGGCCGGGCCGGTTCCAGCGCCGGGAACGGCCGGGAAGACTCGGTTCGGGTGGCGGTGGGAAGGAGCGTTGCGACCCCCGAAACTCCTGGGATTTGTCCCATGGCCAGGATGGGAACCCCCTGGATGCCTGGAGCCCCATGATGGGATATGGGGTCCCACCAAACTTCTGGGACCTCCCCAATGGGGCCCACCGGAACGCCTGGGACCCCCCCATGGGGAGATGGCCCCCCCAAACCCTTGGGATGCCCCCCCCAAACCCCTGAGACCCCCCAAACGACCTCGCATAGTGCGATGGGGAAGACGGAATCCCCAAACACCTGGGATCCCCAGAGGGGGAATGGACCTCCCTGAGGAGCTGGGACCCCATCCACGCCGGAGTGGGGGGAGAATGAGACACGCCCCCCAAAAACCACTGATTCACCCCCAAGGGTGGCGGAACCCCCGAACATGCGGGTCTCCCCGCGCTGTCGGGCCCCCGCCGGGCAGGACGCAGGCGGCTCAGGCGGTTTTGGGGTCTCGGGAGTTTATTTGGTCACAGTTCCCCCCCACGCCCGCCCCGGACCCCCGTCCAGTGTCGGAACCGCCCGGGGGCGGGGCCTCCGCCAAGGGGCGGAGGTTCCTGTTTGCCCGAAGAGGGCGTGGTTTTTCCTGCCGTTGTGGCCCCGCCCCGGAGGGGGCGGAGCTCTTGTAATGCCCTTTACTTTGACCAATAAGGCCCCTGGGCGGGCGGGGCTTCCGCCACTGCCAGCTGTCCATCACGACCCCACGGGGACGGCGCCTCGCGGTGGGGTCGGGGCTTGCGGCAGCGCCCTCCTGCTCGTCACGGCCGCTCATTGGTCACTGGAGGGCGGCGGGGGCGGGTTCAGGCGCTCCGCGGGCGCTCATTGGTCGGTGAAGGGATCGTGGGAGCGGGGCCCGGCGGGGGGCGGGGCCCGGCGCGGTCCCGCCGACACGAAGCTCCAGGGGTCGATGCGGGGGCGGAGGGGTGAGGGGCGGGGTCGGGCGGGGCCTGCGGGAGAAGGGGGGCTTGAGGGGGGCGTGGGATCCCCGATGCCCCCTGGCCCACCCAAAACAGCTCCACAACCCATAAAAATGCCCTATGGCACCTCTGAGCACCCCCAGAGCCCCAGAACTGCCCTAAGGGGCCCGTGACCACCCCCCTCCTGCCCCACAGAGCTCCAGAGCTGCTCCACAGCCCCCCATGGCTGTCCCAACCACCTCAAATCTGCCCCTCAGACCTGCCAAGTGTCCCTTGCCCCCAGTCCCACTTACCCCACTCGGGGGTCCTGGCACCTGGGCTCAATTCCCGGGGTCTCCTGGCACCCCGGGGGGATGGCGGCAGCCCCAGCTCAAGGGTCCTGGGTGTCCGGGCACGGCCCAGCTCGGGGGTTCCGGGGCTCCGGCCACAACCTGGCTCAGGGGTCCCGGGGGTCCCGGGGTGACGCAGCTCAGGGGTCCCAGGGGTCCCAGGGGTTCTGGCTCCCCCTTGCTCAGGGGTCCAGGACCAGTTCAGCTCCAGGGTCTTGGGAGTCCGGGCTCGCCCCTGCTCAGGGGTCCCAGGGGTCCCAGGGGTCCGGACTCCGCTGGGATCTGGGGACCCAGGAATCTGGGCTTGCCCTGGCTCAGGGGTCCTGGGGGTCCCAGGGGTCCGGGCTCCACTGGGATCGGGGGACCCGGGGGTCCAGGTATGACCCAGCTCGGGGGTTCCAGGTGAGCTCAGCTCCGGGGACCCCATGGTCCGATCCCGCCAGCGAGGCGAGAGGCGTAGAAGGCTGGGGGAAGGTGGGGGGCTGCGGGGGGGCTCGGGAGGGGCCAGGTCACGGCCCAGCCCCAGGGATGCCAGCAGGGCCGAGCCCCTCAGCAGCGCCCGCCGCAGCAGCCGCGGGGTCCCCCCCCGAGACCCCCGGCCCTCCTCGGCCTCGGGGGGCCCGGCCTCACCTGCAGGACACAGTGGGGGTCAGTGTGAGGGGGGGCAGGGATGGGATCCCTGGGACCCCTGGACTCACCATTGGGGGATGCATCCCCGGGGCTCAGCTCGTCCGTGTCCAGGTACCAGGTGGTCTCATCCGGGCGCAGCCGCCGCCTGTGGGGGGAAGCCCAGGTGTCCAGGGGGGGTTCCAGGTGTCTGGAGGGGTATGGGACCCCCTTGACCCCCTCCCAATCTCCTCAGGGACCCACCTGCCGTTGGGGGCACTGCTCTTGCCCCCACGCCCCCGCGGCAGCTCCTCCTCCTCCTCGGGCTCCACTGGGGATAGAGGGGGGATGTCACCCGGGGTGACATCACCAGGAGGTGTGATGTCACCAGAATCACCTCCCACCCCCATGATGACATCACTCACGCTGGATGGCACGCAGGCGGGGGAAAGGGGGGGACCCCCCCGGCCCGTCCTCAGGGTCATGGCTCCGTGGGTCCCCTCCCGGCGCAGCCTGGACCGTCAGGCGATGCTTGAAGTCTGGGGGGGCACTGGGGTCAGCAGAGCCCTTGAACCCTGCCAAAACTCCCAAGCAAACACCAACAGCACCCCAGACACCCTCCAGGCCCCCAAAACTCCCAGGAGCCTAAACTCCCCCCAAAGTGCCTGAACCCCAAAGCCCTTCCAACTCCCCCAGCTCAAACAGCCCACTGCCCCTCCAATCCCCCTAGAGCCACCCCAGCATCCACAAAGTCCCCAACTCCCAAAACCCCTAGATCCCCAAAGCCCCCAGCCCCTGCTCCCCCTCCCCGTACCCTGGGGCATGCCAATGAGGTCCGCAGGCCGCCGCGGCCGCCGAAAGGGGGGTCGGCGTCGCTTGGGGGCCGGGGGGGGCCGGGGGGGCCCACGGAGCATCAGGCTCAGCTCCCGCTCCAGCACCTCCAGCTCCCGCCGGGCCACGGCAGCCTCGCGCTGCCGCAGCGCCTCGGCCTGGGAGCGTTGGGCCCGGGACGCCTTGGCCACAGCCTCCTCCCGGCTCCGCAGCTCCTGGGGGGGACGGGGGTCATGGGAGGCACTTGGTGTCATGGGGGATATTGGGGTCACTGGGGACACCGGGGGGAGACACGAGGGGACAAGGGCAGCCTGGGAACACTAGGCCCTGGCCTCAGCCTCCTCCCAACTCCTTGGGGGGTCAACAGGGTTACAGGGGTCATCGGGGTCACAGGAACAAGGAGGTCCCAGGGACAAGGACCAGCCATGAGCAGCACCAGGGCAGGGCCGGGCCCTGCTGCAGAGTTTCAGGGGATTGCATGGGGGTCCCAGGTGTCCCAGGGGATCTCCAGGTGTTTGCCATGGATCCTGATTGTTCAGGGGGTCCAGGGAGGTCTAGGGGTGTTGGGGGTGTCCCAGGGGTGTCCCGAGTGCTGGGGGTCCCACCTTCTCACGCGCCCGCAGCTCGTCGAAGAGCCCCTGGATCTCACGGCGCCAGGACTCCTGCAGGGAGTGGAAGGACTCGGGGGGCCCCAGCCCCGCCGGCTCCAGCCCCCTCAGGCGCCGCAGGATTGCCCCGAAGCCCGGTCGCCGGTGGGGGTCCTGTTCCCAGCAGGCTAAGGGGGGAACCAGGGTCTGGGGGGCTTGTGGGGGACTCCAACATCCCCCAGGGGACTCAGGTACCCCCTGGTCCCTCTCTTCAGCAATCCAGGCACCCCCAAACCCCTGAGCACCCCAATATCCAGAATCCCTCAACCCCTCTGAGCTGCCTGACCCCCCCTGGCCCCCCTGAGCTCTCCCAGGTCCCCTGCCCCTGCCCTGTATCTGCCATGACCTGGGCAAAGGGCAGGTGGGCAGGATGGGGACCCAGCCCCCTGTGTCACTCCACCCCCTGTCCCACCTGGTCCCCCCGAGCCCCCAGGTCTCCCCCAGCCCCCAGTCCCCCTGTACCTGCCATGAGCTGGGCGAAGGGTGGGGGGCAGGTGGAGGGGATGGGCAAGGTCAGTTTGTTCACGGCCACCCCATAGGCCACGGCCAGGCCGTCGATGCCCCGGTACGGCACCTCCCCTGTCAGCAGCTCCCACAGCAGCACCCCGTAACTGGGGAGGCAAGGGGAGTCAAACACATGGGGAGCCACTGGGACACCCCCAAGCCCACGGGGACCCCCTTGGATCTCCTCATGCTCCTCCATGTACCCAGGTGTCTAGGTGCCCTCTAACCCCCCACCCAGACACCCCACAAATTGCTGCTCCAGGAACACAAGAAGTCCAGGTACCTCCAAACCCCCCCCACCCAGGCATCCAGGGGTTCAGGCACCCCAAACCACAGCCCAGCCCAGAGCTCAGGGGTGGGTTCCCACCCTCCCAGATCCCCTAAGTGTCCTCTGGACCCTCCCAGCCCTTTCCCACCTCCAGACATCGCTGCCCTTGGAGAAGGTGGATGCCCGGATGACCTCGGGGGCCATCCAGGCATAGGTTCCTGCTGCACTCATCTTGGTCGTTCGCTGCCACTCACGGGCGAGGCCAAAGTCGGTTATTTTCAGCGTTTTCCCACTCACGTCGTCCCCCACAACTGGCTGTGCCAGCAGCACTGGGGGGGGCGGGGGTCAGGGATCCCACAGGGACCCCCCAACCTGGGACCCCCAACCACTGACCCCCAAAACCAACTGCACCAGGAGCACTGGGGGAGCCAGAGGTCAGGGATCACCCAACCAGGGACCCCCTCCACCCAGGGAACCTCTGCCTCTGTGACACCCCCCCCCCCCCACTGGGGACACTCATGTCAGAGACCCCCCACCCCAGGACCCTCGTGTCTCAGATCCCCACCCTGGGGATATCAGAAACCAGTGCCCCCCAAGTCTGGGGACCCCAACGCAGGACACCCACTCCAGGGACCTTGGCCTCCAGAACCCCTGACCCTCGGGACCCCAGTGTCAGGGATTCCCCACCCTTGGGACTGAGACCCCACCCTGGGGACCCCAACCTCTGCGAGCCCCCACCCTGAGCATCCCAGTAACTGGGACCCCCAACCCACACTGCACCCCACATCCCATCACCCCATCACCAAGAGTACCCACAGGAGTCTCCCTCACCGTCCCCCCACTCACCATTGCTGGACTTGAGGTCCCGGTGGATGAGGGGCACGGGGGTCCCGGCGTGCAAGTACCGCATCCCCCGGGCCACCTGGCGCGCCCAGTCCAGCAGCACGGCGGGGGGGACCCTGCGCCCCGCCAGCGCCCGCGACAGCGGCCCCCCCGCCGCGAACTCCATGACCAAGCACAGGTGGGGAGGCTCGAGGCACACGGCCCGTAGGGCCACCACGTTGGGGTGTCGCAGGCGCGCGTACAGCCGCGCCTCCCGCCGCAGGCTCGCGGCCCCCGCCGCCCCCGCGTCCCCTCGCGCCGCCTTCACCGCCACCACCTGCCCCCGCCACGTGCCCCGGAACACGCGGCCGAAGCCCCCGGCTCCGATCACCTCCTCCAGCCGCAGCTCCCCGAACGCCGCCCGCTCCGGCTCCCACCCCCCTGGGGGCGACGGGGACCGTGACCCGCCCGGGGAGGAGGGCGAGGGGGAGCGGGATCCCCCCGGGGGCGAAGGGGAGCGGGACCCGACTGGGGATGGAGACGGGGAGCGGGACCCTCCCGGGGAGGGAGGGAAAGGGGAGCGAGACCCTCCTGGGAAGAGGGAGGAGAGGGGGGGTGAGGGAGAGCGGGACTCCCCCGGGGGAGACGGGGAGGGGGGTGCCTGGCCCCACTCCATGGGGTGCTCCCCCCCCGCCCCTGCCCCCGCTGATGGCGCTGGGGGGGCCTGGGAGTCCTACAAGTGCTTAGGGGACCCCAGAGGTTCCTTGGGGAGTCCTAGAGGTGTCGGGGGGGGTCCTGTGTGTTCCTGGGGGTCCTATGGGTGCCGAGGGGGTCTATGGGTGCCCAGAGGACCCCATGGGCCCCCTTTAGCTCCTGGGGGTCACTCGGGTCACCTGGGCCCTACAGGTGCTGCCTGTAAGATCTGACAGCTCTAGGGGTCCCACTGGGCACCAGGGGGGCTATGGGGATCTGGGGGTTCCTATGGGCGTCTGAGGAGGGCTATGGGTCCCAGGGGATCCCAGGAGGTCCCCACACCTTATTTCAGTTCCTATGGTCCCTTACAGCTCCTATAGGTCCCTTATTGGTCCCTGGGTCCCTGTAGCTTCCAGGGGTCCCTGTGGGTTCCTATAGCACCTGTAGGATCCTGGGGGGTCCCTAAGGGTGCCCGGTGGTCCCTGTGGCTCCTGGGGATCCCTGGGGGTTCTTGGAGTCCCTATAGCTCCCTGGGGATCCCTGTGATCCCTGTTGCTCCTCTGGGTCCCTACAGGTCCCCGGAGGTCCCTACACCTCCTCCCGTCCGCTACAAGCCCCTGTCGGCCCCAGGGTCCCTCTACCCCCACCCCGGCCCCCCTCACCCCCCTGCCCGATCCCCTCCGCCCCGTCCCTTCCCCGGGGCCCCCGCGCCCCGTCCCGTCCCCGCCTGGTCCCGCCGGAGCTCCCGCGGCCCGGAGGGGGGAGGAAGCGGCGTCCGGCGGCGTCCCCGGGGGGGGGGCAAGGGGCGGCCCGGCCGGTCTGGGCTCCCGGGGGTCCGGCGGTTCCCCGCGCTGGCTGAGGCGGCCCCGGGAAGGCGGAGTCGGGACATTGTCACCGGGACAAAGGAAAAGGAACCAGCGCCGGACGGGGCGGGCCGCGGGCACCGGACGCCGCGGGGGTTGGGGGACCGGACGAAGGGCCGGCGGGGGAGGGGCGCAACCCCGACCTCGGGACCCCCCAGGACTCCCCGGGACCCCCGGACCGGGCGAGGGGAAGGCGCTGCTACCCCGCGGGACACCGTGAGGCTGAGCCGGGGGCGGCAGCGGGGCCGGCGGTGGGGACACGGACCCGGGTACCGGGGGGTCCCGTGTGTGCGTTTGCGCGTGTGCGTGTGCGTGTGCGTGTGCGTGTGCGTGTCCCACTACGCGGGGACCCCATGGGCCCGGGGACAGTGCCGCCGCTGGGGGGCGCCCTCACCGTCCCGGCCCGCGGGGGGATCAGCGGGGCTTGGCCCCGCCCACCGCTCAACGGCCCCGCCCTCCCCAGGCCGCTGAGGGGGGGGGCGTGTCCGTCCGTGCGCACGCGCGCGGCCGTTCCCGCCACGAGCGCAGGAGGGGGCGTGTCCTCCCCTTTTGCTCCGCCCGTCGCGCTGGGTAAGGCGCTCCATGACGTCATTCGCGCGCGCCGGCGACGCCGGGGAGCAGCCGGAAGCGGTGGCGGGCCTGGGGCTCCCGGGGGGCTCTGGGGATCCCCTGGGAGGCCCCGGGGCCGCCATGGCGGGGGCGGCGGCGCTGCAGGTGCTCCGCCAGGGCGTTTGGGCCTCGCTGACCGGCGGCTGCTTCCTGGACCCGCAGCTCGGCGCCTTCGCCAACTGCGTCCGGCTCTACGTGTGGCTGTTCCTGCTCGGGCTGCCCCTCGGGCTCTACTCGGTGCGGGAGAGGGGCCGGGAAGGGGCTTTGGGGACCCTCGGAGTCCACTGGGGTCCTGACCCTCGGGCTCCACTGGGGGACCTGACCCTTCCGTTTTCAGGCGCTGCCGCCCACCCCCACTGTGGCCGCTCTGTACTGCGGGGTCGTAGCCGCGTTTTTCGGGGCTGTCAAGGCCGTGACATTCCGGCTCCACGCGCGGCTCGACCGGAGGGACCCCCAGGGTGACCCCGAGGGGGGGGCGGCCGCTCTGCTGCCCCCCCGCTGCCCTGAGGAGGGGGACGGGTCCCCCGGGTGAGTTTGGGGGAAGGGGATCGGGGAGGGGCAGGGGAGCTGTGTGGCTTCTCTTGAAGGGCAGTGACTTGGGCCTGGGGGGGCCTGGGGAGGAGGGCCACCACCCGAGGTGGATTCGGGGTGTGACAAAAGCGTGTAAGGGTGGGGGACAGCTCCGAGGGGGCTGTAAGAGCTTGGGTGGGGGGCTGCGACCACTTCTGGGGTGCTGGGGGGGCAATGATTGGTTTGGGGCAGGACGAGGAACATTGAGGGTCCCCAGGGGCTGGGGGTGGAGCTCCTGGGGGCCATAGGAGGAGGTTCGGGGTCACCCGTGGGGTATTTTGGGGGCTGGAGGAGCACCCTGTGGGTTTATGGTACCCCGGGGAGGGCTGGGGTAGGATGGGGAGTTGGGGTCCTCTCGTACCCGCCCTTCACTTCTCCCCGCCCAGACTCCCTGGGGGGGGTCTGGAGCTCTCGGTGCTCCGGTGGCCGCGTGCGACCCCCCCCCAGCTCTGCGGCTTCAACCAGCTCTCGGTGAGTGGGGGGGGTACAGGGATGTCCCCTGGGCTCGGGACCCCCCTGTGCCCCCCACAACCCCCTGTGCATGTGTACCCCCGCAGGAGTTGCTGCCACACCTGGACATGGACAGCATGGGGGGTGAGCAGCCCCGGGACCCCCGCTGGGCCTCGGGCCCTCTCTGGGATTTGTCCCTCCCCCAACTAAAGCCCCCTGTGCCCCCCTCCCCCCCAGAGCTCCGGAGCAGCACCAGCGGCAGCGGCATCGTCACCGCTGCTGACCGGGAGCATCTGTGCTGCGGCCCCCCCGCGGTGGGGGGGCACCCCGGTGGGTGGGGGGGGCTGGGGGAAGCACAGGGGCTGAGGGAGGGGAGCCCCGGGGGAGCCAGCGGTGGGGCTGGGGTCCCCCTGACCCTCGCCATCCCCCCAGCCCCAGAGAACCCCCTGGCAGCTGGCACAGAGGGGGAGGTCCCGCCTGGCAGCCCCCCTCCAACACCCCCCCAGGGTGAGGGTCCCAGCAGCCCATGCATGGCCCTGAGCCCCCACCAGCCCCCCGGGAAGACCCCAGCCACCAGGGACTCTCCTCGGGGGGTGAGAGGGGGGCCCTGAGGACCATCGACCAGGGGAGAGCCCCTCGGGAGGAGAGTGGGGGGTGGGGCGACCCCAGAACAGGGGGGTCTTGGGGGAGGCAGTGGTATAACTGGAATGTTTTGGGGGATACTGGAGGGTGCTGCCCTATAGTGGGAAACTTGGGGGTCCTGTCCCATAACTAAGGAGCCCCAGGGGCCTTGGAGGGGGGCTTGTCCTGCCCCATAACTGGGGGGGGCTGGGGGTGTACAGCCCTGTGGTGAGATTTGGGGGCACCTGATCTCTGACGGGCTTTGGGACATTTCAGTGGAGGGGGGATCCTGGGGAAGGCTGGACTCTCGGTTTTGCTGGTTCTCGCGGGGGGTTTGTTGGTACGGGGGGTTGGTACAAGTAAATTAATAAATAAAACCTGATAACGGTTCAAAAAGTCGTTTTTGTCGTTTTCCCGCCGCGCTGGGGGAAGGGGAGGGCATCGAGGAGGGGCGGCACCGAACACCTGGGCTGCCCAAGTTGGGGAGGGTTGCAGGAAGGGGTTGGGGGGTCAGGTGGGTGCCCCGGGCCACCGGAGCCCCCCCGGACCTCCCCGGACTCACCGTGGTGGGAGGAAGCGGCGGAGGGGAAGGGCGGGGGCGGGGGCGAAGCGCGGCTGCCCGTGGTCCCTCGAGCCACTGCAGCCCGTGCGAGAGAGAGGGGTCCAGCCCACCTGGGACCCTCTCGGACACCTGGGACCCCCAGCAGCGTGGGACACCCCCCCGAGGGTGACAGGGACACGAGGGGTCGGAGGTAGGAGTGAGCGAGGGGGGGAGGTTCGCACGAAGGTTTGGCACGGGGGGGCTGTTGGAAAGTGCATCCCCCACCCCCGTGTGAGCCCCCAAACCTCCTGTAAACCCCCCTGCGACCCCCCACTGACCCCCTGGGAGACCTTTGCCCGGGGCCACGATTTCTGTCGCCCCTCGCGCCTGTGGGGAACTCACGACGCGGGGGGGGAGGTGTGGTGTCCCGGGGGGTCCCAGGAGGGGTGCGGACACCCTGGTGTCCCCCCCCACCCCGGACACCTGAGTCCCTGCCCGGCCCTGAGCCACCTGTACCTGTAGGGGGAGGGGGCGTCACACCCCGGGCCCCCCCTCTCCCAGATTAACGTCGTTAATCGCGTCTTAACAGCCGGGTCGCGGAGGGGGCGGCGGGGAGGGGCCAGGGCGCCCGGGGAGTCGGGGGAGCCGGACGCCGTTTCCTTTAGGGGGGGGCCGGACGCCGGGTCCTGCAGCCGGAGGAGGGAAGTTGTGGGGGGGGGGACCCGGACGCCCGAGTTCACATCGGGGACAAGGTCAGGAGCGGGGGCCCATCCTGGGTGAGGTCACTGGAGCTGGGGGGGACCCCCCGGGGATGGGGATCAGTGAGGGGGCCTGGGGGGAGTACTTGGGGGGCAGCTCTTGGGTGACCGTCAGCGGCTGACACTTCCTGTAAGGCAGGAAACCGCCGGCGGCGGCACGTCCGGGCCCCCCCTCGAGCCCCCCCAGCTCCGCAACTTCCCACCGAGCCCCCCTTGACCCCACTGAGCCGAGGCGGGGCACGGAGGGGCAGGCCGGGATCCAGGCGAAGGAGGGACCCCGGTGTCCGTGGGGGTCCCAGGGGACTCACCACCACCACCAGCACCACCACCACCCCCCCCCGTTTTGGGGTCCCTGCAGCGGAGTGGGCGAGGCGGGGAGGACAAAGGGGGGCTGTGGGTTGACTGGGGATGGAGGAACAGACACAGAGGGACACGAGGATGGGGCGTGGAGGGATAAGGAGCACCCCCGAGCCCCCACTGACTCCCCGTCCCTCCCCAGGTGCCGCCGTCTCCCCCCAGCCGCAGAGAGCGCCGCGGCCGAAGTCCCCCCGAGCCCCCGGGTTGCCCCCATTGACAAAGACCCGGGAAGGGGCGCGTGGGAAAAGGGGCGGGGCCTCTGCATGCGGGAATTCCCGGGCAACCAATCGGGGCATGGGCTCCGTTCCCACGCTTCCATTGACAAATCCCTGGGTGCGGGTCTCCGCTATAACCGGGGAGGGGGCTGGGTGGCTGGAGAAGTGCTAGACACTCCCAGTAGGGTCCTAAAGAGTCCTTGAGAGTCCCTTGGGATTCCTGAGGGTCACGGGGGTGTTCCCTAAGGGGGATCAGGGGTGTCCCGGGGGGTCTCAGGGGGGTCCTAGATAGTCCCTGGGGGTCTCAGGGGGGAATAGAGGGGTCCCAAGGAGTGTTAGAAGGGTCCTAAGGAATTTCGGGGGGATCCCTGGGGGTCCCGAGGGGGGACACACACAGTGTGTGTGTTGGGGGGGCCATGCAGTCCGACGACCTCTTCCTCCGCAAGATGCGAGGCCCCTCGGCTCGGCCACCCCCAACCTCCGCACCCCCCAGCGCGGCCGCGGGGACCCCATTGCCGCCCACATCGCCGGGGGGAGCCGCCCCCATGCAGCGCAGCAGCAGCGAGGCGGCCCTTGGGGGGTCCCCAGAGGAGAAGGGGTCTCCGGGGATGGTGTCCCCCCGGGCCCGCACCCAGAGCCACGAGGAGGCGGCCGGGGGGGGCGTCCCTACATCCCCCCGCTTCCGCGACCCTCTGCTGCTGTTGGGACTTGCGGCCGGCGGGGGTGACCCCGATTTTTTCCCCCGCCCCCCCTGGAACCCCCTCCTCGCTCACTACGACGTGCAGAGCATCCTCTTCGACCCGGCCGAGCCACCCCCGGTCGACCCGGGCCCCACCTCGGGGGCTTCCGCTGCCCACCTGGAGCCCGAGGAGCCCCCTGGGCCCCCCGGCGCTCCTTCCGACCCTGAGGCCCTGGTGCTGAGCTGTCCCCGCTTCTGCTGCGAGACGGGGGGGGAGCAGGAGCCAGGGCTGGGCCCCCCCCGCGGCCCCCCCGGGCCCGGGCAGCTGCCGAATGCAGCTGTGGCGGTGCTGGAGGAGCCCCCGGCGGGGGCGCGACCCCCCCACCCCATCGAGCACAGCGACGACGGCGCCGAGTACTATCGCAAGTACTTCTATGGGAAAGGTGAGGGGGGGCAGGGGAAGTGGTGTGGGAGGGATGTCCCTCCCCCCCGATCCCCCGGAGCACCAGAACCTGCTGGCAGCGACATCAGCTGGGGGCACAGGGAGCTGTAGGGGGGCTGGGAAGGGCCATATGGCTCCCCGACCCCCCTGGCTCGCTCCCAGAGCACCAGAACCTGCTGGGTGAGGACCCTCGGCTGGGGCCTGTGGCCGTGTCCCTGCGGCGGGAGGAGAAGGAGGGACCTCGGGCCCAGGTGCTGCACAGGATCATCCTGCGCACCTGCCAGGTGACCAGGGGGCTGCTGGGGGGTGTCCAGGGGGGAGGGAGGGAGCTGAGGGGCCCAGGAGAATCAGGAGGCCCAGAGGTCACAGAAGGACTGGGTGGGTACAAGGGGATGAGGGGGTTCAGACGTTCTAGGGTGGCTGAGGTTCAGGGGGATGGGTGAAAGTCAGGGGTGTGAGGGGACCTGGGGGTCCCAAAGGCCCTATGGAGTGATCCCCATGGGCTTCAGGGGAACATCAGGGGCTGGGAGGTCTCAGAGGTGCCCAGAGGGGCCGAGGGTAGTGCAGGGGTTCCATGAAGGTGCCCCCACCCTGACCTTTCCTGTATCCCCCCCCAGCCACGGACGCTGCGGGGGTCGGTTCTGGAAGAGGCGCTGCCCCCTGGATCTCGTCCCTCTGGAGTGCGGGGGGTACCCCCCCGGAAGTTGCTGGAGCTGGTGCTGCCCGGGCTGGCAGTGGGGGGGCTGCGCCTCGCCCCCTCTCCCGCCGTGCAGGAGACCCTCCTCAAGCTGGACGAACAGGGGGTGAGGCTCATTCAAGAGGAGGGGCTTGAGTGAGGGGGCTTTGTGTGGGGGACGCTTGTGTTGGGGGGGGCTTGCACAAGGATTGCGTTGCACCGGGCCTGAGGCTCACGCGGGGGCAGGGCTTGTACAAAGGTGGACATTGAACGAGGATAGGGCGTGCACAGGGTGGGATTTGCAAGGGTTCAGGCCTTGCACGAGGACGGGGTTTACACAAGGATGGGGTTTGCACCAGTGCAGGTGCTCGTGGGAGGCTGTCGAGGGTGTTCAGGGATCTGTGTGTGTTCCCTGTGCGCTCCCCGGGAACTCCCTGTGCCCCACTCACATCTCCCATTCCCCCCAGGTGAGCCGGCAGCGCAAGGTGGGGGTGCTGTACTGCCGGGGGGGGCAGGGCTCTGAGGAGGAGATGTACAACAACGAGGGGCCCGGCCCTGCCTTCGAGGAGTTCCTGGCACTGCTGGGCACCCGCGTGAGGCTGCGCGGCTTCGGGGGGTACCGGGCACAGCTGGACACCCGCAGTGAGATCCGGGACATGGGGACACGGGGACACATGGGAGGACAGGGTGGGAAACGAGGACACGGGGGGACACGGAGGGATGTGGAGGGATGGGGGAGACATGGGAGACGTGGCACACGGGGATGGGGACATGGTTCTGTGGGGATAGAGAGACATGGGGACACAGGGGATGGGGGGAACATGAGGACATGGGGGAAGGGACATAGGGACTTAGTGGGGACAGGGAGGACGGGGCATGGGGGACGCAAGGGGATAGGTGGACATGGGGATATGGGGGACATAGGGGAGGACATGGGGCTGGGGATGTGGAGATGTGGATACAGGGAGACCTGGGGACATGGGGCCTTGAGGGGCCACGGGGCCAGGGGTCTCTGGCAGAGTAGGGGCTTAGGCCGTGCCCCCCCAGCTGACTCCACCGGGACCCACTCGCTGTACACGACGTACCATGGCTACGAGGTGATGTTCCACGTGAGCACCATGCTGCCCTTCACCCCCCGCAACCCCCAGCAGGTACAGGGGATTGTGGGGGGATCATGGCGGGGGTACTGGGGGTCCATAGGGTCTGGGGTGCCCCCATGCCGCCCTTCACCCCTTGCAACCCTCAGCAGGTATGGGGTAGGGGTGGGTCACAGGGGTCCCTGGGGTCATGGGCTGGGGGTCCATTAAGTGGCAGCAGGTCCAGGAGTCCCAGGGCAATAGGGAGATTCCTGGAAGGAAGCTGGGGGGATTCCATGAGAGTTTGGGAAGTTCTAAGGCAGCTGGAGGGGTCTGAAGGTCCCAGAGGTTTTTGAGGGGATGCTGGGTGTTCCCAGCAGTCTGTAGGGGCTCCCTCTCTCTGCCCCCCCGGTCAGTTTTGGGCCTCTGACTCCCCCCTTTCCCCACCAGCTGCTGAGGAAGCGGCACATCGGGAATGACATCGTGACAATCGTGTTCCAGGAGCCGGGGGCACGGCCCTTCTCCCCCCGTGCCCTGCGCAGCCACTTCCAGCACATCTTCATCGTGGTGCGGGTGCACGAGCCCTGCACCCCCCACACCGCCTACAGGTGGGGCTGGGGTTCCCCAAGGCTCTCAGGGGTTGGGAGGCTCATACAGGGAGTTTTGGGGATCCTAAAGAGGGTCTGGATGTCTCCAAGGGTCTCAGATTAGTGCTGGGGTCTCAGATTGTACAGGGGATCTGGGGATCCCGAAGGGCTCCTGAAGGATGTGAGGCTTACACAGGGGTGTCTGGGGGTTCCCAATGGCTCATGCAGGGCTGGAGAGCTTCTCAAGGACTGGCGGGGGGTCTCTCCTGGTCCTTTGGGGGTGATGCATGGTTCTTGAGAGGCTCACATGGGCCCTGGGGGGGGCTCGCACGGGGTCTGGGGGTTTGCATGACGACTGGAGGGGCCAGCATGAGCCCTGTAATGCTTACATGTGCTCTTGGGGTCTCTCCCAGGGTCTCTGGGTGTGTCACAGGACTCTTGGGATTCCTGGGAGTCTCCCCCAATCCCTTGGGGTCTCTCCTGGTTCTTGTGGATCTGTCCTGTGCCTTGGGGATCTGGCAGAGTTCCCTAGGAGAGTCCCTGCTGGGCTCCGTGGGTCTCTCATGGGCTCTGGGAGTCTCTCCTGGTTCCTGGGGGTCTCACGCGCATTCTGGGGTCCCTAACCGCCCCCCCACCCCCTCTGGGGATCTCTCTGCAGTGTGGCGGTGGTGCGGCCAGAGGAGACCCCCCCGTTCGGGCCAGCGCTGGCGGCAGGGCAGCGTTTTTTGGGGGGCGCGGGGCTGCGCCCGTTCCTGCTGGCCAAGGCCATCAACGGAGAGAACGCGGCGGCGCGGGGGGGCCGCCTGGGGGCCATGGCCGCACGCACCCGCCGCCAGTACCTGCAGGAGCTGCTGCGCGCCCACGGCGGGGGGGCCCCGCTGCCTGCGCCTCCCCGGGGGCTGCCCGCCCTCGGGGCGCGCCGCCGGGGGAGCGCGGGGAGTGCGGGAGGCGCGGCGGTGGCGGGGGCACTGGTGTGGGGGGCACGCGCTCAGGGGGGCCCCGAGGGGGCCGAGGTGCCGTGTCTGCTGGGGGTAGCGGCGGAGAGGGTGGTGGTGGTCGCCGCGCCAGCCGGGGTGGTCACCAACCAGTCCGCGTGGCTCACCCTCAACCCAGGGAATCTGCCCCGTGACCAGGGGACGGTCGCCCCCCACCCACGGGCGATCGCCCCCCAGCCGGGGAAGTTTCCCCTAAACCCGGGGGTGCTCCCCCCCCACTCAGGAACGGTCGTCCCCCACCCAGGGACGGTCGCCCCACAGCAAGGGGAACCCCCACGTAACGAGGGGATGACCGCCCCCCCCTCAGGGGACGCTGCCCCCTACCCGGGGACAGTCGCCCTCCCCCCTGGGGTGCTGTTCAGCTGCGCATGCCGGGACGTGCTGGGCTGGGGATTCGCCGAGGGGCGACTTGAGATCTTCTATGGGGCGGGCGACTGGTTGGGGCTGCGACTGCCCCATGGCGCTGCCCCACAGGTGGTGGCCAGGCTTCAGGTGAGCGGGGCAGAGGGCAATGGGGGGGCGGGGGATGGTGGGGCAGGGATGGTGGGGCAAATTGGGGGGGGAAATAAGGGGGGCAGTGGGGAGGACAATGGGTCAGGCTTGGGGGGCAATGCGGGGGTGCAGTGGGGGGCTATGTGGGTGTGCTGTGGGGCTCAGAAAGGGCAATTGTCCATAGGGTGCCCTGTGGGGTCAGTGTTGGGGTTCCCATGGACTGATATTGGGTCACCCCCCAGAGATCCCCGAACGCCCCCGACTCGATGACCCCCTGCAGGTTGGGATGCGGGGATGAGAGGTGCCGGGGGCTCTGTCGGGATCCCCTTTCCTCTCCGACCCGGTGTGTCCCCCCTGCAGGCGGTAACGCGGGGGTGCGAGGCGCGGGAGCTGGCGCTGCCACGGGGGGCCGGGGGCCGCCGGGGGTTCCGCGTGGACGCCTCGGGGGTCGTGACGGCCGTGACGCGGTTCTCGTTCGCCGAGACTGCGGGGCTGCGGCCCGGGACGCGGCTGCTGCGCGTGGGACACCGCCCGCTCCCCCACGGGGACCCCCGGCTGCTGCGAGCGCTGCTGCGGCACCCCTCGGGCCCCCTGACGCTGCTGCCTCCCGATCGCGACGGGCGGCCCCGGCTGTGCGTGCAGGACACGGGGCTCGAGCGGGGTCCTGGGGGGAATCGGGGGGAGCGGGAAACAGGGGGGATTGGGGTTGGAAGGGTAATGGGGGGCAGTGGGGGGAAACGGGAGGCATTTGGGGAAATAGAGGAGGTGGGGCCAGTGAGGGGGATTGGGGACGGGGGGAGGCATGGGAAGATTTGGGGCGCACAGGGGGCCTTTGGGGACAAAGTGGGGGATTGGGTTTGAGAGGGACATGGGGGAGCAGTGGGGGGCAGAATGAGGGGAACTGGGTGGCACGGGGGATCTTGGGGGGATGTGGGGAGGGCAGGGACATGCGGGTCAAGTGGAACTCGGACCTGGACACCCCAGAGTGTCCTCACTCTCCCCCCACCACGTCCCCACCACCTCTGCCCCCCAGGAGTTTCTTGGAGCTCTATGCCCGCTCGCTGGAGCAGGGCCGGGGTGCAGGGGGGGACCCTGGGATCGGGGACCTCGGAGGAGATATCGGGGACACCAGCAGTGACTCAGGGGGAGACAGCGACAGGGGGGATCATGGGGTGGGCCCAGGGGGGCTACACCCCAACACCCTACAGCTCCTGCGCTCACTGGCACTGGACGAGGAGAGCACCCCCTTTCCCCCTGCGGGTGGCCTCCCCAGCCTGGGGACCCTCAAGAGCCCAGCCGGATGCCCCCCCAGTCCGTGAGTTACACCAGACATGGGAAATCCCCCAAATTCTCTGGGATGCCCCAGTACCCTTGGAACCCACCTCCCAAGCCCTGGGACCACCCCCGCTCCCCCAGATCCCTCAGGAATCCCATGCCCTCCCATGAATGCCTCTAACCCTCACTCTGATGATCCCCCTGACTCCCCAGGCCCCCCCTGGCTGACTCCACGCCTGACCTGTTGCTGCCACACCACAGCCCCACCCAGTCCAGTGACCCGGTGAGTCCCTTTGTCCCCCTGTGTTCCCCCCTGTGCCCCACGTTCCCATGACGCTGCTGACCTTACCATGTCCCCTGTCCCCCCATGCCTGTCCCTGTGTGCCCCTCCCAGTGTCCCCGTGCCCCTGCTGACTCTCCCTGTCCCCAGGGTCCCTCTCTGGATGCTGGTGGTCCTGCGGCCCCCCACGAGCCCAACCTCCCCCTGGGCCCCTCGCTGCGGCACTCCCTGGGCAGGCGTGAGTGGCCTGGACCCCTGTGTTCCCTGTGTCCCTCCCCTCTTTCACCCCATGTCCCCTTCTGTGTCCCCCGTCCATCCCCCATCCCATGTCCCCATGGGATGTCCCTGTCCCAGTGGGGGGGAGTGTCCCCCATCACATGTCCCATGTCTCATATCTTACAGGGGTGGCCCCTGCCCCCTGAGGGCCCCCCCATCTCCTTGAGGTGTCCCCAGCCCAGGTCCCCTTCACCTGGGGGTGTCCCCATCCCCTGGGGTATCTCCCCTCATCCTCATACCCCTGTCCATATAGTTGTCCCCTGAGGCTGTACCCTATCCCGTGGAGGGGGGTCCCCTGGGGGTCGTCCCCCCACCACTTGGGTGGCCCTGTCCCCTGGGTGTCCCCATCCCATGAGGGGTGTCCCTGTCCCATGCCCCCTGTGCTAGGGGGTTGTCCTGTGGGGTTGTCCCCCATCCTCTGGAGGGGTCCCCTCCAGTTCCCTTGGTGTCCCCCACTGTTGCCCCCCCAACCAGTGCTGTCGGGGTCTGGGGAGCCCCAGGAGGAGGAATGGGAGCTCATCGCCCGCCTGGCCACGGCCTGCAGTGGGGTCCTGGAGGCTATCGCTCAGGGGGGTGAGGGGCCCCGTGGGCCTTTGGGGGGGCTTTGGAAGGGCTGAGGGGATCCTGCAGGCCATTGCCTGGGAGGAGAGAAGGGGGTTTGGGGAGGCTGGAAAGTCCTGGAAGCCGTTTCTTGGGGGTTGAGCGGTGTTTTGGATGGGAGGCAGATCTGGGGGAGCTTGGGGGTGGGGGGCTGAGAGGGTGAGGGGCCTAGGGGACAAGGGTAGAGGCTTGGGGGGCTGGGGTGGGTCTGGGGGCCTTTGGCAGATGGAGGAGATGGGCAGGTTAAGGTCAGTCTGTGGGGTTGGGGGGCCAAGGGGTGAGGGGATCCTGGGGGACCAGGGGGAGCTGAGGGAGTTGGGGGGCTGGGGGTTGTGGGAATGGGAAGGATCAGCAAGGGGGGTATCTCAGTGGTTATGGGAATGAGGAAGGTCATGAAGGGGGAGATCTCAGGGTCCTCCATGTAGGGGTCTTACATTCCCTCGCTTCCCCCTGCTAGGGCATCAGCTCCGAGAGCCCCCCAACATCGGGATCCAGCAGAACCTGAGCCCGGTGGCCCCTGAGGATGAGTATGAAGGGGGAGGCTGGGAGGATTAGGGGGGTGGAGGGAGTCCCTTCAGGGTCCCATACCCCCTCGTGCCCTCCCCAGGTCCCGGAGCCTCTCGGAGAAGGTAGCACAACTGGAGACGGCGCTGAAGCGGCTGCAGGAGGGTCTGCAGGAGGTGGGGGGCACTGGGGGGCACACTGGGAGGACATTGGGAGGCACAGGTGGTGCTCGATGGGAACTTGGGGGGGCACCAGAGGGACACTGCTGAAGAACTGGGGGGTAGTTGGGAACACTGGAGGAGAAATGGGGAGTACTGGGAGTCACTGGGGGGATACTGGGAGAGAACTGGGGGAACGCTGAGGAGGCTGACCTGTGGCTCTGTGTGGGGCAGGGCCACGAAGCGCAGCAGCGGCTCCGGGCCGAGCTCCGGGGGCTCCGCCGCAGCACCCGGCGGCTGCAGCAGGGCCAGGAGGATGCGAACGCACGCCTCAGCCGGGTCACGCGGCTGCTGCACTCCCCCGGGGACCTTCCAAACCCTCTGACACCCCCCAACAGCCCCCAGGGGGGACCCCCTGACCTCCCCAGGGATCCCCTGACAATCCCCAAGACCCCTTGAGACCTCCGAGGGAGACCCTCCGACTTCTGTGGGACTCCACAGGACTCTGGGACTGCAGCAGCCCCTTGGCATGGCACGGTCAGGTGGGCACAGTCACCCCGGGCACACTCACCTGGGCACTCACCATGAACATGCTGCACACATGCTGTGCACACTCCCACCCTGGGCCCACTCACTGCAGTCACATGCCATGAACACGCCGTGCACACACCATCCTCGTGCCACACACGCTCACAGCCATGCAGACCGATCCTGTAGGTCCCCTGCACGCTCACACCTCGCTCACACTCGCCTGGCATGTGCCAGCGATGCCCACTCCAGGCCGATGGTGTCCATCCCAGACACGCTCAGCACCCTTGCACACCAACCCTTTGCCACTTACCTCGTACATGCTGGCAGTGCCCTCCCGTGCACAGCCCCCCTTGCACGCTCACCCTGTGCACACTCACAGCTCACCGTCTGCCCCCACTAACTGTGAAACTCAAGCTGTGACTCCCTCCCATGTCCCCCCAATGTGACAGTGGACCCTCCCTGTGTCCCTCCATGTGACACTGGACCCTCTCCGTCTCCCTGTGTTTTCCCCAAGGAGACACTGGAAACCCCCCCGGAGGGGATGTGCTGGGACCACACCAATCTCTCCCCAACAATAAAATCCTTTGGCCTCGGCAGCCCCAGCCTGTGATTGGGAGGGGTGAAAGGGGGAGGGGGCTGCATCCCTAGAGACAGACAGGCCTACCCCCCCACATAGCCTGTCCCTCCCAGTTCTCCCCAGTATATCCAAGTATATCCAAGTCCCTCCTAGTGTCCTCTTCCAATCCCCTCCCAGTGCCCCCATAGAAGGCCATAGGTTCCTCCCAGTCCCTTCCAGTGCTTCCCATTCCCTCCCAGTCTTCCCCAGAGCCTCTCAGTTCACTCCAGTCCCTCCCAGTCCACTGCTATCACTTCCCAGCCCATCCCAGTCCACCCCTAACTCCTCCCAGTCCCTCTCAGCCCTTCTCAGTACACTCAGAGTCAGTCACAGTCTTTCCAGGACCACCGGGACATTCCCAGTACCATGGCAAGGGCTCAGCCTGTTCCCCCAGGGTGGATCCTCTCCCCACTTCCTGTCTCGGTTCCTCAGAGCCGAGAAGGGGCTGGGGGAAGCCGCGGGCTGGGGAGAGCCCTCAGCCGCCTCGCTCCGCCTGTCCCGGTTTTCCAGCCATGCTGGTGGGGGCCCACTGTCAGACCCCCATTCCGGTCCAACATTCTTTTAGTGATTCCTCGTATTCCGAGCTCAGCTCTGGCCTCTCTGCCTCAGCCTTCCAGACCCCGGGAAGTGTCCCTGGCTCTTCCTGGGATTCCCAGTCCTGCTCTGGCTGGCCGTGCCCCATTCCCTGCCCATTCCTGCCCCATTCCATGTCCCATTCCCTGCCTCCTTCCTGCTCCATTCCCTGCCTCATTCCTGCCCCCCTCCTATCTCATTCTCTGCTTATTCCTGCCTCATTCTCTGCTTCATGTCCTGCAACTCATGTAGAGGCTGGAGAGTTCTGCCAGCTCCATCCCCTTCCCAAAGATCCTGTGGAGTGACCCCGGGAAGAGCCAGACCCCCACCTCATGAGAACACCGTGTCCTGGGAGTGTACGAGGGGGGTGACTTTGGTGGGTTCCCAGGTCCTGTCCCAGCTGGGGGGAGAGTAGAGGGATGGAGCATGGGGGGATGGGAGGACAGGGATATCCCCACATGAGGGACCCTGGTGTTCCGGCCCTGTGGCCCTGGTGGGTGTCATGGCGGGGGGGGGACACCCCAATGTCCGGGCCTTGTGGCTCCTCCCCATCACAACTTCCTCTGTGGTGGGTGGGGATGGTGTTGGGTGAACCCGAGTGTCCAGGGTGCCGTGGGGAAGGAGGTGGGGTGGGACGTGGGGCAGGAACATTCTAGACACCCTTGGGAAGGGACGGAGTGATGGCAGGGCTGAAGACAGCAAGTGGGGAGGACATTGATGGCTCCTTCGAGCTGCAGGTGGAGGTGGAGGAGGGAGATGCCATGGGGCAAGGAGATGCCATGGGGCAGCCCAGCCCCCCGGCAGCCCTCCGCATCCTTCCCCTCCATGTCACCGGAGACCTGCACATCGGTGGCCTCATGCACCTCATCGTGGAGACCATTGGTGAGTGACTCCCAGCCAGACCCATAGCCGGGATCCACAGCCCTGACCCCTAGTTGTGCCCCACGGTGGCAGGGGGCCAGACCCTGGTGTCCAGGCTCCACAGCTCCAGGCCCCATATGAAAGGGCTGTAGGGGCATCCTGCCCCCCTGAAGTGTCATGTGGTTGAGAGAGGGGACTGGGGGAGGATCCGGTCTGGGGATACCAAGCCCTTATCGAGGGGTCCCAGAGTCCCCCCACTTCCAGGTTCCCCTCCCCAGGTCCTTCCTGGCCAGGGTGATAAGGGATTCATGGGCTATAAATAGGTCCAAGGGTGGCTCCCCCACGGGACCCACAGCCTCTGAGCCCCCCCGATGGGGTTTGGGGGTACAGTGGGACTCCTATAAACCTCGCAGAACTCCACAATTCCCCCATAACCCCTACTTAGCAACCCCTAACCCCACCCCAGTTCCTCACAGCCCTCCATAGCATCCCTATAGTTCCTCATAGCTCCCAAGAGCCTCCCACATCCTCCATTAGAGACCTCCATAGACCCCCACTGCCCCATTACAGGCCCCCTATAGCCCCCACAATGTGGTTTGGGGGCACAGCAGGACCTCCCATAGACCCCTTTAGCTCTGACCCTCTGACCCTATTTCAGCCCCTCGTGGCCATCCCCCTGTCATGGCACCTTACCGCCCCCTCCCAGCCCCCTCATACCCACCCCCAGCCTCCCCTGATGCCCTTTCCCTCAGGGGAGGCCCGGGACTGGTCGGACCACGCGCTGTGGTGGGTGCAGCAGCGGCGGTGGCTGCTGCCCCCCGGGCCCCCCCTGGATGCGCTGGGTGTCGGGGGGGGCTCCCGGCTCCGCTTTGTCCCCCGGCACCGCCCGCTGCGGCTACGGCTCCCGGGGGGGCGTGTCCTGCGGCTGCACCTCAACTTCGCCAGGACCCCCGGGCGGGCAGTGGCGCGGGTCTGCAGTTTGCTCGGTGCGTCGAGGGGTCCGGGAGCGCTGGGGGGAACTTGGGGGTGTCACTGGAGGGGTTTGAGGGGTGATTAGGGTGTCTGAGACGGCTTTTGGTGGTCTGGGAGGGCCAGAGAGCTCTGAGCAACGATGGAGTGGGGTTGGGGAGGATGGAGGGGTCTGGGGGGTCCCGGGAGGATCTCAGGGGGGAACTAAGGCGTGCCGAGGGGTCTCGAGGAGTCCCGGAGGGCACTGAGGGGTTCCGGGAAGGTGCTGGGGGTCCCACTGTGCGCGGGGTGGGGGGGCTCGCAGGGATCCGACACCCCGAGGAGCTTTCGCTGCTGCGTCCAGAAAAGGAGGTGGCGAGGGAGGGGCGGGGGCGGAAGGGTCGCGCCCCCCCCCAGGCCCCCCCCGACCTGGACCTGACGCACCTGCGGCCGAGGGCAGGTGAGCGGCGGCGGGGGAACGGTGGGAGACCGTGGGGCCTGGATCCCCCCGTGTCCTTCGCACCCTCCCCGACCTCCTGTCTCCCCCCACCCAGATGAGGCCTCTCCCCCTGTACTGCCTCCTGAGCAGCTCCGGGCCCTGGTGACCCCCGGGGGGGGAAGAGACCCCCCCGCGCCCCCGCGCAGCCCCCGCGGGAACCCCCTCGTGCGGCTCGCGCAGCTGCACGCGCGGTGAGGGTCGGAGCCGCGGGCGTGGTGCCTGTCTGGTGGGCGGGGCTTAAAATGGGGCGGGACTCGCTGGGTGGGGCGGGGTTAGATGTGTGGGCGTGGCTCAAGGCGGGGATCGGGGCGGGGTTGGGGATTGTTGGGCGGGGCGGGGGACGAGGCTTAGGGTGGGTGGGGACGGGACACGACTTGCTGGGGCGGAGCTTGTTGGGGGTGGGGTTTGCTCGGGTGTGGTTGGGCGGGGTTTGCGGGCGGAGCTCAGATCTAGGCGGGGTTTGTAGGCGGGGCCGAACGCGCAGGATCCCCTGCACACCCTCCCCGCTTCTCCCGCAGGTGGCTGGACACCTCGAGGTCCCTGATGGAACAGGACGTGGTGGACGACGAGGAGCTGCTGCTGCGCTTCAAGTACCCCTGTGCCATGGGGCTGGATCCCCAGGTACTCTCAAATCCCCCCTGGTGATCCCCAAAACCCCCCAGGGACCTCCCACCCTCCCATGTCACTGCGCCAACACCCCTCAGAAGGGGGTTAGGGAGTCCCTCTGGGTCCCTGATGGGTACCTAGTGAGGGGGGGTTTGGGGATCCGTGGGGGTCAAAGCCCCCTGGGTGCCCCCACCATGCCCCAACACTGTGACCCCCCTAGGAGGGTGGGCTGCGCATTGTTCTGCTGCATGAGGAGGCACGCAGGGCCCTCCTGGCCGAGGAGATTGACTGCACCGAGGAGGAGATGCTGCTCTTTGCTGCCCTCCAGGTACCCCAAAACACCCCTGGACACTTGGGCACACCTCCACTGACTCCCCCCACCCCGATCCTCTGGGACCCTTCCCAAAACCCCTGTACCCCAAAATCCATCCCGGATTCCCTGGGATCCCTTGGAACGCCCAAGAACCCTCCAGACTCCTCGAAAGCTTCCTGGACATCCCTGAGCCTCAAACACCCCTGGACCCCCCAGTCCCCCCTTGACCCTCACCTTGACCCCTCTGAGATCCCCCCCCCCTTAATTTTCCTGACACCTGCTAGCTCCCCTGACCCCTCTGTGACCCCCCACCAATTTTCCTGACCCCCACATGACCCCTTTCCACCCCCCAGTACCAGATAGATGGGGCAGAGGGGGGTGATGGGGACCCGGAGGGCCCCCTCGAGCCCCAGGACCTGGACACAGCCCTGGACAAACTGGAGCTGAGCCTAGGGGGGCAAGGGACGGCCATTCTGCCGGTGAGACTAGGGGCACTGGGAGACACAGGGCAGGGGGTACTGGGAGCACTGGGAGGCACTGGGGGGCATTTGGGGAGGACTAAGGGGCACTGGGAGGGGATTGGAGGGACTGGGGAGCACTGGGATGTATATGGAAGGCCCTGAGGAGCACTGGGTGATACTGGGGCCCTCTTCTGGCCACACTGGGGGGGTACTGTGAGGCGGGGAGGGGTAAGATCTGTTTGGGGCTGGGGTGGGGGGCACTGGGAGTCAGTGGGGGTCACTGAGGTTTGAGGGAGTCCTCAGGAGGAGCTCGGAGCTGCCCCTGAGCTGGTGGAGGAGCTGGAGATCTACAGGTACCTCCAGAACCCCCAAACACCTTTCCTGACCTCAAAATTGGGGTTCCCCCAGGCCCTCATCCTGGCCATTCTGGGGGTCCCTCTTGACCCCCCCCCAACCCCCAAACTCGGGATACCCCCAGGTCCTCCCGTTGGCTATTCTGGGGGTCCCGACCTGCCCGGGCCGTGCTCTCCGGGTCATCACTGTCACTCCGGAGCCTCCCAGGATCGGGGGAGGGCTCACAGCAGTTCAACCTCCATGGTGAGACCTCAAAATCCTCCAGGGCCCCCAGACTCCCTCTGGCACTCACAAATCACCCTGAGACCTTTCCACAAGAAGCACCCCCCCGACCCCCAAATCCCCTGGGACCTCCCCATTCCTCCCTCATGGGATTCCTAAGACTCTTCTGGGACCACCTCTCAGGACTCCCAGTTTCCCCCCTAGACCTTGCTGGAACAAGGGCAACTGCCCTCCTGGGTTCCCCCAGGGCCCCCAGATACCCCCTCAGGAACCCCCATCTCCCTCTGGGACCCCACCAGGACTCCCAAATTCTGCTCCAGAGCCCCTGGGACACCCCCAGCTCCCCTTCTGAGTTGCCCACATACCCTTTGGAAACACCCCGATCTCCCCCCAGGACCCCTCTAGGTCCCCCTTAGAGTCCCAAAGCCTCCCCAGACCCCCTCTAGGATGCCCCCAACTCCCCTCCTGGGCTCCCCCAGGCCCACCTAACCCCTCCACCCCCCAGGCTGTGAGGTGACCCCTGACGTGGATTTGAGGGCGCAAAAGTTTTGCATCAGACTGCGTGTGCCGACGCCGGAGGGGATGAGCGAGACCCTCCTGCGCTGCCGTGATGTGGGTGGGGAGGGAGGAGAGGGGTGGTGGGGGGTGTTGAGGTCTCTAGGAGACCACAGGGACTATGGGAGGGCCCCACTGGGAAGTGGGAGGAACGGGACATGGGAGTTCGGGGAGTCCTGGAGTATTTGAGGGGTCCCCAGGGGCAGCTGGGGGGGCTATCTCATGGTGATTTGAGGGTTCTTGGGGGCTCAGGGCAGGGGAAGGTTAGAGGGGTCCCGGGGTTCTGGTGGAGGGGGATCTCAGAGGGACTCTTGGTGGGGGTGGGGGGGTATGAGGTTTCAGGGTTTTTTTTTGCATTCTCAGGGTTCTGATAAGTCCCGAGGGGGTTTGGGAGTCCTGGGGGGCTCAAGGGGTCCTGGAGGAGTTCTGGGGGGTTTGAGGGGTCCTGGGAGAGTTCTCTGGGGATCTTTGAGGAGTCTCAGGGAGCTGGTGTGACACTCCTTCCCCCCCAGGCCCCCCAGTATGCCCGTTGGGTTGCCGGGTGCCGCTTGGCCTCGCGTGGGGGGTCCCTGTCAGCCACGTCACTCAGGGCGGAGGCTCAGGGGGTCCTGGAGGTCCTAGGGGTCCAGCAAGGGAGGGAAGACCCCACTGTGCCTCCCTGGGCCCTCTCACGCCCACCCCCAGACCCGCAGCAGTTGCTGCCTCACCGCTTCCAGCGCAAGTTCAAGGCGAAGCAGGTACTGGGTCCCCCCCATCCTTGTAAAGCCCCCTGCTGTTCCCCCAGTCCGTGGGGCACAGGAGTCCTCCCCACTCTGCCCTCCCTCACAATGCCCCCCCCCGCCCCCCAGCTCACCCGCCAGCTGCTGGAGGTTCTGCACCGTGTGGGGACACTGACCCCAGGCCAGGCCCGGCTGCGCTTCGTGGAGGCCTGGAGGGCGCTGCCGGGGTTTGGGCTGGGGTACTTCATGGTGAGGTACTGGGGGCACTGGGAGATGGGGGCTGGCACACTTTGAGGTACTGTACACTGGGAGCACTGCTCAGAACTGCTCAGGACTGGGGCAACACTGGGGAGGCCCAGAAGTTCCAGTGGTCCCAGGTGTTTTTGGGGCGTCTCACAGGTTCCAGGGTGCTGGGCGTGATGAGATTTTGGCTGTGGGCCCCTCACAGCTGCTCCGGATCAATCCTGGCTCTGGCGCCATTACCCGCAGCTGGAGGCACAGCGACCTGCGTCAGTGGGATGTCAACTGGGACAGCCAGCAGGTACTGGGGACTGGAGGAGAGCAGGAAGCACTGGAAGTGGACTGGTTCTCACCCCCGGCCCCTTTTCCCCCCAGGTGCGGCTGTGTCTGACTGGGGACGTGACGCTGGGGCTGCGGGTGCTCTCGGCAGCCCCCCGGGTGCTGCACCAGTTCCTGGGGGGGTCTCTGGCGCTAGGGGGGCAGCGGCCAGGGCAGCCCTCAGACCCTGATGTGCTGAGGCGGCTGATGGAAGGGGGGGACAACCCCTGATGCCCCAAGGCCCCGTGCAAGAGTGGCCTCATGCAGATGCCCCCATCCTGCTGCTGGCACCAGCCTCAACTCCCCTCATCCCTGTTCCTCCCACAGCAGCACTTTTGCACCCTCTGTTCCTCCTCCTGCTGTGCAAGGCACTCGTTCAAGGCTTGTGCAACACTGGTGTGATGGAGCTGAATGTACTCACTGTGCTCAATGGAATGGCGGTGTCTGTTGGGCCTCACAGGCAAGGAGGGGGGGTCACACTCCAGGCTCGTGGCAGGGGCTCTCACTGTCCTTGTATGAAAGGTCTGGACCCCCCACAATCCTCACGGAAGAGGGTCACACCCTGTCCTCGTGCTAGAAGGCCACAACTCTGAGTCCTCATATGAGTGGTCTGGACCCCCACAATCCTCAGAGGCTCTCATCTCACTGTCCTTGTGCAACAGGATCCCAGTGTCCCTCCTGGCTCCCCAAATAGCCCCAGGACACCAACTTTCCTCCTGGCTGTCCCCCCGTTTCTCCATTCATTTGCCACCCTCCAGGAGACCCTCAGCCCTCTCCCCTCCTCCCCAGTCCCACAAGGTTGGGCCACTGCTCTGCTCTTTATTTGGGGTCACATCACCCCAGAACCAACACAGGATGGAGGGAGGGAGGGGCAGCGCCCCCTTACCCCCCCTGGGGGGGTCGAGGTGTCCCCGGGGGGGGCCGTAGGGGGATCCCCGGGGTTTGGGGGGTCACCGGATGGCAATGAGCCCCACATCCATCAGCTTTTGGATCTTCTGGGCAATGAGAGGGTTCTTGAGGTGCCTGGGGGGAAACCAGGGATCAGCATGGGCACAGAAGGGACCCAAGGATGGGTGGGGGAGGCCTGGGACGCCCCTTGGAACACCCCTCCACATCTTGGGGACACCCACTGACACCCCTCGGGCCGTGCTGGGCAACTCCCCAGTAGCTCTGTGAGGACTCTGGGTGGCCTCACGGAGACTCAGTGAGCTGTGAGAGATGGGCATCGATACCCCATCACACCTTGGGGACCTCCAAGACGACCTCAGAGACAGCTGGGGACCCCCTCAACCGCAGGGGCCTCTGTGTGGCCCCTTCAAGGCTCAGTGACCACTGCAGGGTGGCTGTTAACATCCCAGAACAATTCCCTGGGGACTCACTCGCTGAGGGCCTGGGGGTCCTTCTGCATCTGCTCGAGGATGAGGCGCATGGCCGGGTCCCCCATGATTTGCTGCACCTCAGGGTCAGCGAGTGCCCGGCGCCGCAGCTCCTCAGGGGGCTCTGAGCGCTGCTGCTGCGCCCGCAGACACCGCCGCTGCCCCTCTGCTGCCTCCTGGGGGACACAGGGAAGATTGTGGGGGGTCACAGGGATGTTGTAACCCCAGGCAATGCCACTGACTGCCCCTCCACTGCCTCCTGGGGGTGACAGGGATCACAGTGGGGGGCACAGGAGTCAGGAGTGGTCACAGGGAATGCTGCACCCCCAGGTAGTGTCACTGCCACTGGGCTGCCTCCTGGGGATTACAGGGGGCTGGGGAGTCACGGAGGTCACAAGTTGCTTGTACTCTCAGGCCCTGCAGTGCCCCTGGGGGTCCTGGGTAAGCAGGGGCTCACAGGAGGTCACAGGGGTCAGCAGGGGTTCAGGGGGTCACGAGCTAACCTTACAAGTGGGGTCAAGGTCCAGGGCACGCTGATAAACCTCCATGGCCTTGGTGTAGTCACGCATGGCCTCGAGCGCCGCCGCCTTCCGCGTGTAGCCCTTGACTGGGTGGGGGGACGCACAAAGGTACAGGTGAGAGAGGAACACATGCGTACAGGTGAAAGGTGGACATACGTGGGTACAGGTGAGGGCAGACAGAGGTATAGGTGAAGCAAAGACAAAGCAATACAGTTATAGTTAGAGATAACTGAAGGCAAAGGAAAGAAAGGGCAGGGCCTAGCCCCTCCAGCACTCCCCCCCATGTCCTCCACTCACTGAAGGTGGGCTCCAGGCGGATGCACTCCTCACAGTCCTGTGGGAAAAAGCAAGTTCAGGGCCATCTCAAGAACCCCAAACTGACCCCCATATCCTCAGACCAGCGCCATGCTCTCAGACCAGCCCCAAGATCCCTCCTACCGCCCCAGGCCAGCCTCCAGCCCCTCAATGCAGTGCCCAGACACCCCCCGCCCTGTACCTTGAGGGCAAGGGGGAACTCCAGCAGTTTGGTGTAGCAGGCGGCACGATTGCTGTAGAGCCGGGCCTCATTTGGGTTCCGTCGGATCGCCTCGCTGTAGTGCCGCATGGCCTGGGGGTAATCCCCTAAAACAGGACACCCCCCCCCACCTGTTGTCATCCCCCAAACACAGGGCGGGACCCCCTCAGCCCACCAGAGCCCCCCCCCCTACCTCGCTGGAAGCACTCGTTGCCCTTGTTCTTTTCCTCCAGTGCCAGATCGGGGTCAATGTAGGCCAAGCGTTCCTGCTCCTTGAGGATCTTCTCAGCCTGTAGCAGCAATTAGGGGGTTCAGGGGTGCCCAGGAGGGCTGCCCCCCCTCTCCCTGCACCCCCCACATCACCTGCTGACACTTCTTGAGCACATCGGGCGTGCGGTGCTCAGCCAGGGACTTGTTGTAGAAGTGGATGGCATCCTTGTACCGCTCCTCGCGCAGGTAGGAGTTCCCGATCCGTGCGTATGCCCTGGGGGAAATGGGGTGTCAGGGGTCGATTTGGGGGGAACCAGTGAGGGCAACCCCCATTCCAAACCTCCCGACTCACTTGGCGATCTGTCGGTAGTCCTCCCGGTTCTCCCGGCCCAGCTCGATGGCGCGTTCGCACAGTGTCCGGCACTGCTCGTAGTTGCCCATCTCGAAGTACACAGCTGTGTTTCGGGGCAGTTTTGGAGGTTCAGGGGGGTTTTAGGGTTTTGGAGGTGCTCAGAGGGGATCGAGGGGTCACGCACCAGCCTGGTTGGTGACGTAGGTCATATTGGTGGGGTCTAGCTGCTCAGCTCGGGTGTAGTGTTCCAGCGCTGCCGGGAACTCCTTCCGCTTGTAGGCAGCATTGCCCAGCTCCTTCTCCCGCTGTGCCTGATGGAGGGGCATCACCCTAAAACTGGCTGGGACCCCCCAAACCCTAAAATCTGCTGCCCAGACCCCCAAAACCTGGCCAGCCCCCCTATCACGCAGCTCGTGCTCCCATTGAGACTGGCAGGGGGTGTCACCGAGAAGTGGCTGTGACTCCCTCCTAAAACCCAAAACCTGCTCTCCCGTCACCCAGCTTTCTTCTCCTGCTGTCCCTGATGGGGGAGGTCATGCCAAAACTGGCTGGGACCCCTTCAAAAGCTTGCTAGCCCCTCTATCATCCCACTGCTTCTCCTGCTGCACCTACTACAGGGAGACCACCCTAAAACTGGTAGGGAAACCTCACCCCCAAACTTGGCTGAGACCCTCCATGAATCCCAACTCCTCCCCCAGCACCACAAAACCTGCTCCTAAATCCCCTAACCATAACCCCAGCACCCAAAAACCTGCCCTACAGCCCCCCAGAACTCTCCTCAGCTGCCCCAAACCCGCCCACCCGCCTTGTCTATCGTGTTGCCCTTCAGGTACGCAGGGGACTTGTGTGTCCTCAAAATACCTCCCTCCCCTCCTCACAGGTTTTGGGGACACCCCCTCACCTCCTGCTTGTTCTGGGGGAGCTCCTGGGGTGGGGGGCTGGGCAGGGGCGGAGGGTGGGGGTGGCGGGGAGGGGGCCTCCTCCTCCTCCTCAGCCCCGCTCAGCTCCACCCCCAGCAGCACACTCAGCGTCGTCATCACCCGGGGGTCCTGCAGCTTCCTGGTGGGAGGGGCAGGGGTGCGTGGGGAAGTGCCCCAAAATCCACACCCTGATATCCACCGGGGAGGCTGCATCCCATAATCCGCACCCCAACATCCCCCAAGGGGGTGGCACCCCAAAACCTGAACCCTGGCCCCAACCCTGGGGGTCCTACACCTTCTGTGGGGGCAGGGGAACGTGGAAGGAGGTGTCTGGAAATCCACACCATGATATACCGCAGGGGAGGAGCACGCACAAAAGGTGTACCCTGGCCCCCACCCAAGCGCCCTGCTACTTCCCTGAAAGTCCCCAAAATTGGCTACACATCCCCCAGTCCCCCAAATTCAGCCCTACACCCCCCCCAGCCCTACCCCAAAGCCACCCAAACCCATTCCCATCCCCACCCCAGTCCTCCAGAGCCCCCTCTCAGCCCACTCCAGCCCCCTGAGGCCCATTCCCAGCCCACCCCGGCCTCCCGAGGCCCATTCCCAGCCCCCCAAGGCCCGGCACTGACGCCCCAAGCTGCCCCGGGTCGCTGCGCAGCGTCTCCAGCAGTCGCCGGTACTCAGGGTCCCCCAGCAGTGCCCGCGTCCGGGGGTCCCCCTCGAGTCGTGCCAGCAGGTCAGGGGCACTGAAGGGATTCAGCAGTTTCCGCTCTGAAATTAGGTCAGGGGAGGTCAGGGACCCTCATAGGGACTCCAAAAAACCTCCCTGGGATGCCCAGTCTCATTCTGAAAACCTGAAGAACTCCCCAGGGACACCAAACCCCTCAGGGCCACCCAAAGCCTCTCACAGGGACCTGTAAGCAGCTTTCCCAGCAACTCCTCCAGTCCCTGCAGCCCCTCCAGCCCCCTGTCACCCCCCCTTTTTCAGGCCTAAACCCCCCAACCCCTCTCAGGCCAACCTCAGAGCCCTCCTGAGCAGCCCATACCCGCCAGCCGTGTCTCCACCCCACGCAGGCCCTGCAGCAGCTGCTCATTCCCGGGGTCCCGTGCCAGCCCCTCCTCATATGTGGCTTTGGCCTCCTCCAGGCGCTGCAGGAACTCCAGCGCTGCTGCTTTCCGTGAATACCCCTGGGAAAGGGGAGCAAAGAGGGACCCCGGGATCAGACATCCCCACGGGAACCCTGACCCCTGCCACAGCAGAGACTCCTATGCCCCAGCATCAACGACTACCCCTGGGGGACAAGCAAGGGGGACTCCTACGGTCAGACCCCGTGGGGCACCTCCAGGGTCAGAGCTCCCAGGGCTCCACAGCCTCCCCACCTTGGCCCAGTCGGGGCGCAGCTCCAGCGTGCGGCAGGCGTCGGCCAGGGCACGGGTGTAGTCCCCGAGCCGCGCGTAGGCGGCCGAGCGGTTGCTGAACAGGACGTGGTTGTTGGGGTCCCGCGCGATGGCGGCCGAGTAGTGTCCCACGGCCGCCCC